AGAAAGAAACAAAATAACTTTTTAGCATGAAAATGTGATGAATGCACTAAGGATAAAACTCCCACAACATGGAAAAACTTCTATTATTGTTAACTACAGATAAAAGAAACACAAACAAATTTATTGCTAAAAGTAATATTTTGGACAAAAACCAAGCAAGATCATGGAATTTTTATTCTTTACTACATCTTGACCTGTAACATTGTATAACATTTACATCCAATATTGCATGTAACGTAAATTGAAATGAAGGGCTTAGCATAAATTCTATGACCAAGATAGATCTCAATGGTGATCATCAGGCGGCAGATATGAATGAAATGTCATTTTGTTCTTTTCACTTAGAACAATGTCTTTTAGTGTATACATTAATTTTATGTTATGACTAAAGAATATTACACATTTTTATAAGACTTTTTTTGCATTATTTGTTTGTTTTGACTAATAAGTAATTTTTTACCTATTTCTTTTATTTTTAAAGTATTTTTCACTGCTTCCATAGATTTTATTATCATTTAAATGGTACTCGCTTCAAGTAATATTTATGAGATGTAACAAATGTTCTCCAAAGAATTTCTGAGTAGCCTATTTGATTTCTTCACTCAGAAATTGTAATGTCAGTCGTTCTATGTAATCTAAGGTTCCTGTGATGCCTATCTCCGCCATTTCGACCATGCCATCGCCGACTGGCTGATTTTGCAAAATCTATTAACGAAGATTTCCTGGTAAAGAACAGCCCAAACCATTTTTGCAAGTTCATTTGAATGAAAGGAAGAATCCTTCATTGCATCAGTAAAATTATCCATCAGCTTGCGTTCACCATAACTGGTTTTAATCAAATTTTTTAGTTTGTTTTTCTTTGTTTTTAAGACTTTTTAAAATATTTTGAAAGCATTGTATTGATTATTTTTGGAGATGTTTTAGATCATCAAAATTTACCCACTGGTGATCATATCCTTTCAAAAACTTGAAATAAACATATCAACATGAGGTAGTCAATAAAAAAGGAAGGTTAATAAGGGTCCAAAATGATGAAAGATGAGGTTGATTTCAAACAGATACATCAAGCGAATTATAATAAATATTGTAAAACATCTTTGATCCTAATTCAACATACACAATAGTAACAGCAAAGTTTTGCCATTGAATATTTCCCCTTAGAGTAACAGGATACCAGGATGTTACAGGTACTACACAACTTAGAAACATAGTATTGGCTACCTATTACTAGAAATATGTAACAAGCTACAATAAACCAAAATCTGACCCATAAAATATAGAATATTGTAATGTGTTAAGATGTAGAAACAATAAAGAATAAAAGTGTGCTTTAGCATAAGTATTGTAAGTCATATGTCTATATGATATAAATTTAAATGTGTAACAAACTGAATTTTTGTTAAGACACCAAGAGCTAACATGTCAAGGGAAAAGTTACTTCCAACTGGCTGGTGTACTCAAAATATTTACAACCTTTCTTTTCAGATATAGTTAAGTTCTTTCTAAAATTAAATAACTACTTCTATAATAAATAATTTAATTTTTCAAGATATTTTCTTTTAAGAAAAGAGAAACTAACACTGTGCCAAGTCACCTCAACCTGACAGATCAATTGAAGCTGGCTCCGAGTAATGATGACATGCATGGAATGCAGCCGACATGCAAGGAACCTAAAGAAGTCATGAACAAAAATTAATTTTAGCATATATTATTTTTAATAATAATGACAAGTAATGTTAAACAAATCACATACGAGATCAGTTCAGGCACACAAATTTGTTTGGTTATCACAAATTAATTACTCTTTTCATTATGTGAAGCGCTTTACTAAATGTGAATCTGACTACACTCCTTTGCTGCTGCATTATAACTTCTTCCTCTATTTACAGTATCTACTACTTTCACCAGCAAGTCCTTATTGTACTTGAGAATTTTTTGGGGTACCATATTACCTAAATTTGCAAAAGGGCACATTAATTAACATGTTTGCTAAGACTGACAAACTGGGAACCTAAGGTTGATACCACATTTAATTCTGAACCAATTAGACTATTAAACTTAAGATCCCCTATTTATGACATATTCTGCAAGTTAACACAGTATAGAGTATAAAATTATAATCAGAACCTGAAGTTAACCCCACTGTCATCCTTCAGAACTATCAAATTTTCGAGAACCCAAACCCAACAACACCTCTAATATTGATGACTTAGACTCAAGTATGGGGATAGACTCATAGAATACTTCCTAATTCTTTCCTTGTTAACATTCTAACACTCCAATAGCACTAAGCAAACTCATTTCATATTAAAAACTAAAGATTTAAAACAAATATCACCATAAATTCATAGGGATTTACATGGATTGTACACAAGCCAAATCATGTCGAGCATTAATGAGGTCATGAGCATCCACTTGATTAGTACAGATAATTGACAATATTTGAAGAACTCAAGGAATAAAAAATGGCATTAGAAAGGAAAAAGATACAAATACAAGTATTACAATATGGTACATAAGGGTCAATTTGTACCAATTTGCCAAAAGCATGTCTACTTCCAGCTATCTGTTGTCATATGTTAAAACACTATTTTTAATTTTGAACTTGCAGGAAAAATAGAAACATCACATATTTTTATCTAGTCTTATTTCAGACAAGAAGTTAAATACTTCATAGGTCAATCTTGTGTCATTAAGTAGCTCTTGTATAGTTCATATTTAGTTCTTAAGTTATTTAAGTCAGGGCATTGTATCAGCAAATTAATAACTGCCACCTCTTAGTGAACCACTGTAACTACTAGAATGCTCATTTTATAAACAATTTTCCTTGCATGTCAACTTTAGGTGACCTTTCGTTTTATATATATATTTATATATATAATAATATATATATATATATATATATATATATACTTATATATATATATATATATATATATATATATATATATATATACATACATACATACACACACACACACACACATATACATTTTGTGGCAGGATATTCACTATTAGACAAAAAAAAAATTGTAGATATCAGAGAAGAACTAAATATTGAGACTGTTATAGATACCATAAAGAAATATCGAGAAAATTGAAAAGGTCATGTCCTGAGAATGCCTGAACATAGAATAAGTAAAATTATTCTTCAATATGTACCTAAAGGAAAAAGAAGTGTAGGACGTCCCTTGAAGATATGGCATGAACAATTCTGAGACAAAACAGACCAAGAGGTCTAATCCTTGCTGTCGATGATGACTGGTAATTCAGATAGTTTATCACATTCACATTATTGTAAAGAAAATGAAAACACTTGTATTTATGAAGACTCGCCAATAAAATAATTCACACCATTATCATTCTCTTCAAAATAATTTTCCTTGTTCAAACTAAACAGTCCTGGAGTTCTAATTTTGAGAGTCGCTGTGCATTTAATATTTGTATGTATCTTGTTAACATCTGTACATGTCATTAACAGCATAAACATTATTAACAAATAAATACATAATGAACACTGTTTGCAAGAACAAATATCTAATCGCTTTGAAGAAAAAAATTGCAAATACTTCAACACGTAGCAGCATACATTGGCTTTGTCTTGCAAGCTTTTTAGCAATATGAAGAAACATATTTTATGTTTCCTACAAATGTCAAAAATGTTTATGGCATGTCAAGATAAATGTAAAAGAATGTATAACATCCATCCATAGGACGTAGCAGAAAAATGAAGATGGCATATCAGATACATCCTTAGTATCGAAAGTGTTAAGAAAAAGTACATTTGTATTCAGTGTTAATCTAATTTCACTGAATTTTTGAGAGAATTGCGATATGCCTTTTCAGACAGTTTATCAAATACATTACGAAAGAATGATAGTTTAATATTAATCATTCTTGTACAATATTTCAATTGTACCTTTGTGTCCTTGTAACATTCTTACTTCCACTCATTGGCATAAAGCTGATGTACACAACACAAAATTAAGAGCAAAAGATAGCCACATTGTCAAATCTTAGTCACATTTTTAAATCCCATCATTTATATATAGTACATAATTTTATGACCTTGCACGATAAATAACAAAGAAAGATAATTTGGGGAACTGTTAGCAAAAGTAGGAAAACTTTCGTTTTCATCATACAATACTGTTTCACGCAAATAAATATTAATGATATTAGGTCAATAAAATAAAAAAATACAATTCATTTCAAAATTTTTTATTTCATATCAATTTCATAGTAATTGATGGCTCATGCTAGATAACAAATGAATATCATCTGGTGACTGAGTTTTGAAAATTAAGTGTATTTTCATTTACAGCACAATAAATAAAAATCTAATGCAATAGTAGAAAGTCTTAAAAAACTGTAACAACCAACACTATAAAAACATGCAAATTAATTCATAACAGCATATTGAGCCTCATCCACCATTTCTGATTCTTCCTCACTTCTTTCTGGCAGTTTTAATGTTCCAACACCTAAATGTCAAACATTTAAGCAAGTAGTTTCGATTTTGCAGAGAATGCAAGATACCACACTAATACAGCTAATACTGCAGCCATGAAGTCTGTATTCACCCAAGGTCCTTGATAGGCTCCGGGATAATTGACTACAATAGTAACCAATGGTTTCACTGCAGAAGGATCTTCACCACTTCTTGCAGCTTTTCTTAAGGCTGCATACCCTTCTTCATCATACAAATTGACATTGTAATCACCACTTCTGGCCTTCTTCAAATCTTCAGTCCAGCTAACCTGATACTTGTTAGCTTCTGACAATCTGGCAGCAGGTACTGTTCTCCCATTTATCTCAGCATATAAGGGCAAACTATTTACCTTGCTGCTGCAAGATAACTGAAATTCTGCCACAAAAGCTATGTTAGTCAATACTGTAGCATCATTAGTAGTATACGCTGTAGCTGCTACCTGGGGATTGGTGCAAGTGTCAGCAACACCAAGAGAGAATATTGTTAATGTGCTTAACAGAAATAAAATATTCTTCACCATAATGATAATTTTACAAGCGGACGTCAGTGCACACAAGTAACCTAGGGAACAAAATCAATCTTACAGAACGAAGCAGATGTCTCCTACAAGTACCATAGAACACACGTGCTATCTGGGGGAAAAGCGCTACGAATCTTGACACGCAAGCACACGTATTATTCCCTCTCCACGGAACGGATCCTCCACACAACCAATCCCAATGTCCGATGCCACAACCACATAACCACACGTGCCACGTCGGCGACCACTGGCGACCACTAGCGTCCTCAATTGTTCATTGATTCTCAATTGTTTTTATTTAATTGTATGCGGAAACTCTAGAGTGCAGCACAGCGTGTTCAATTCATTCATACCACTACAGCCACATGAATTTTGTAATGGGAATTATTTCGCCTAATGTAAATAGAATCGAATTGCAATTGGCCTGTACCGTAAACTTGCGTAAATAATCAAATTTTTAATAGTGCCAGCTATTAAATATTTTTTTAGTTCTTCTATGTGATTAAATTGTGTGAAATATGAGTTTTAACTTACACTTCTGTTCTTATGAATGAATATTTCTATCAACTAAGTAGTGTTGTTTCATTGTGTAGTGTAAGCAGTTATTAAAAATTGATCATTTCATTATCTTCGTTTTTTTTTAAAAATGGTACATTTTCCGAAATATATGACAACTGTGCTTTGTATTCCCCGCTATCAAAAACAATTACCATATGTAATGACAAGTGTGTATTCGCAAATTGCCCGTTCGGAAAAACAAAGTAATGGTTTTGTAAAGGTAATTTGTTTGTATAAAATATGTTTCATTTAATTACATTCATTTATATTTAAATTTTCAGCGGAAGAGTTCAGAGTTTTAGAATTAGTTAAAAAAAGTGCGCAGAGAAGTGCTCGAAGGAAAGCTAAGAAAATAGAACTTTTACCCCCACGGTATGGCTAAGAATCCTCTAAGTCTAAATATATGTGCACATTGTAGAGTATATTCATGTCCTTCTGCTTTCCAGTACAAATGTAATGCCTGTGGACCAGGATTGGAGCAGTGTATGGCCTGGACCACGATCGTTCCATCCAGCCTCTGTCCCTTTACCATTACGTCAAGGATATAATAAAAAAGGAGTTTCTCCAGGGAAATATGCAAATGCAGAACTGATGAAAATTCCTAATTTTTTGCATTTAACACCACCTGCAATTAAAAAACATTGTGAAGCTCTCAAGAAGTTTTGTACACCATGGCCAGAAGAACTAAATGATAAAAATTGTGAGAAGCATTTTCCTGTTGAAGTAATAACATCTGACTACTGTTTCTCATCTCCTGATATTAGAGAGCCCATGGCTAGAATCGTAATTCTTAAGGTAAATATTTTATTATGCAAAATGTTTTCAAGAATTACAACGTAATCTGTTCAATGATGAAAGATGCAGTTAGTCAAATCATATTTATTTCTTTGGATGTGTAATAAGCAAAAGTAAACTACAAGGGAGTAAGTCTGATTCCTTCAATATCCTTGGCTTGTCTTCAACAATGTTAGAAAGTTGCCCTTTACAATGTGAACAATCTGGATAAAAACTACTCACATGACCGTAGCAGTTGACATCAGTTAATCAAAAACTTTTCTTATTTGCATATAAATACTTCAAAGAATATTTTTAAACTAGCTGCAGCTTATGTGAGGATCAGTGGTACCAAGGTTTTAATTTTATTTTTTCTTATTGCCATTCTTATTACCACCACTAAAGATTTTTTTAATTCCCTAATCAATATGTATATTGGTTGCACTGGCTTTCACAGTGAGTGTCCAATAGCTCTTGGCTGACAACAATAAACTTGATTGTCATTGTGGCCAACATTTCAACTATCATTAGAGGTGGTCAATGGTTAACAACAATAAACTTGATTGTCATTGTGGTCAATGGTTAACTTAAAAGCTTGAGGAGCATCTTTAAATTGGTTCCCTACCTCCTAAGAACTGCAGGAGATCTCCCTTTAATGTTTGGTACGAATACCCCACATCTCTGAGAGAGGTGAAAGCCAGGGGAACATTTTAATTTCTTTGCAGAATGGATGATTGATTTTTCTTTCTTGTGCTAATAAAAGTTCATATATCTTCACCTAAGACTTATCATACAAGTTTACTCTTGATCACAAAATCGAATCTTTTGAATATTACTTCTTATTTCCTTTTTTATGAAAACAATGTGAAGGGCTTTTGTTAAAAAAGTAAACTAATCTAGAATGTCAAAGTAACAATTTAATATGCTTTAAATTAAAAATTCTGCAGCACTAATGAATATTGCATTTTTATAAAAAATGTTTTTGGTAAGATAATACTGTATCGTATTGTACTATACTGATCTCCTCATAGGTGAAAATTAGTGTTGAATTTAAAATAACAAAATGTATCACAACTTTAATATCCACCAAGTGGTTTTAAATGTTCCAACGAGGTCATCTATTCTTCAAGTCTTCTATTGCAAAGTATGTGAATGAGTGTGGCCTGTCTACTTTCATAAAGGATATTTTTCATTGTTTGGGGAAGTTCATTGTTCTGTATGACTCTCTTGTGTAGTTGAAGACTAAATAAAGCTGCCAAGACTGCAAAAGCATAGGAGAAACATTGTTTGAGGATTACTATATAAATTAGTTAATTCGTTTTCTTGGCTGAGTAATTGGTGTTTTCTCTCCATTTTAGATTGGAACAAATGTGAATGCCCAAATCAGTCATGAATTCATTGGGAGTTAATCATGTTATACAGTATGTAGTTCATACTGGTGTTTTCATTGAGCATTTAGTTAGGCTAATTGCCAATAACCTCAGAAACTTGTCTCAAACATTTTTATGTTTTACATTAATTTTAATTTTTAGGTGAAGTTATCTGCATTAACACTTGATAAACATGCAAAAGATAAACTTTTGCGTTTGGTTGGAGAACGTTATGATCCTTCAACAGATATATTGACCTTAACAACAGATCGATGTCCTTTGAAGAAACAAAATTATGAGTATGCACTATATCTTTTAACAGCTTTATATCATGAGTCTCAAGTAAGTTTTTTTTGGGCATGATACAAGAATATATTTTTTTGTGAATAAATGTCATGTATTAATCATTTTTAACATTTTTAGAAAACTGAGCCCTGGGAAAGTGAGAAAACAGTAGCTGATATGGAGTATTATGACTGGGAACAAAATGTTTCCTATAAAAATGTATTGGGAACATTGAATTGGCCACAATCTGTAAAGGATACTGAAAATTTTAAACTCACTCCAGAAATGGAAGAATATAAGAAAGCAATTAGTGATTTAATGAATAAAGGTAAAAAAAGGGGAAAAAATATTTATAATTGCAAAACTTATATCTATATCCAAAAGTATAGGAAAGAATGTGTTTTCACGGTGTATTATACATTTGTTTCTTCTATTTCCTACAACAGCAGTGTATAAACACATATTGTGTTCCATATTCAGTTTCCTTGAAATATTATAAAGGAATAAAATATTATTATATTTTAGTTGTGATTTTAAAAGAATGAAAATATGATTTAGCTTAAGTATATGAAATTTATATTGAAATTGCCTCTCCAATTGCATTTATCTTGAATCTCTTAATAACTCACTTCTATTTTATTACAGGAGAAGATCTTTACACCATCAGTAAATACAAAGAGGCTACTAAAAAACTGTTGAATCTACCTGAATTCCTACCACTTGAAAACACGACAGCCTAAATTACATGAAATTAACATAGTTTGTTTTGTAGATAAGTTGTTTAATATGGATGCTAACAGAAAAAGAACAGAAGTAATAAAATTGTTGTCATATATTTTTCTTTTGTTTTCTTCCTACCTCAAATATCCTTATAAAGCATTTCTTTTCCTTTAGTAATAATGATTGATGCAAATGAGTGTATGAAACTGGGTATGTAATGTGTACCATGTCAGGACTTGGCTGAGATAAGTGTTCAACTTTCAAAATTGAATTTCAAAGGAAGATAATATTTGTTTCACTTAATAACCTTCTTTGTGCTTTGAGGTCATTGTATTTACACGGCAGCATTTCACCTACTTACAATCCTGCCTCTTCTGACAGTCTCCAAACCTCTCCATTCTTCTCTGCCAGAGGAGCAGAACAATAAAGCTTGAGTTCATCTGTAATGATCTTCAGTTGCCACATCGATGGTTTCTGGGAACATGACAAATGGCTGCTACCATATAAAAGTGCTTGTGACTGGGATGTACTGCTTAGTCTCTTGCGAAGTGAGTGAATGTGAACTTGTCCGATGTTTCTAAATAACTTCCTAGTTCCTGGATATCAAGCATCGTTTTGAGGTAAAGTTTGGACAGAACTCTTCTTCCATAGTTGTTAGTGGAGATATAGCAGCTGTAGTAAGTTTTATACATTTAAACTGCAAAACTAAGGGTGAATATTAAATATTAATTATATACTAACATTTCGAATTTACACAAATTTTTATTTATAAAGAGAAAAATCATGAATAATCTGTTGAGTATTTAAAGATTTTAATAATCTTTCACAGTAACTTAAGGCATGAATGTCAAACTGAAATGTGAGTCAAGATTATTTGTAAGTTTGTGACAGTTTCTTGTTTAGTGACATAAAATACATCAAATTTTGTAATATCAAAATTTTCAGAGCAACTTGTTGATCAAAATAATGCTCTAAATATTTTGTAGTTCACAACGCCAATGCAATTATTTAAGCTACATGTTTAATGCTCCATGACAGCTCGGCTGGTAGAGTATGGAGAATCAGACCAATCATGAAGATCAGTAGACCATAACAAAATAAGTGATATGACCTCATTTGCTTCTTTTCTTCACATAAAAACTTCAGTTTATCTTTACTAGGAAAAATATTTAACATTTTGATCCACCAACTTGTAATTACATTAATATTTGAATACCATTATCATGCTTTTTTAAATTACATTTTCAGGTTATAAATGTTCTGAAGATTTAAAACAGAAGAAATTTATTGAAAGTTAGTGTTCAAGTGTTTCATAAATTTAAAACATTGTTCATACGAAAAGAGAAGTCACTTCATTAATTTTCTTCATTTGTACAATTTTAAATTTAAAATGAGGGAATAATGAAGTAATTGTGAATTGTATGAAACTCAAAAATGTGTGCCTTAACCAATTTATCTTATAAATGAATTAATTTTAATAAAGGACAAGTCCTTCCACATAAGTTTTGGTGTTATTTTAAAATATCCACCTTTACAATTTATGTTAAATTGTCTCAATTCAGGATTCATTGCTATTTACTTTGAATAATTATCATATTCTACTAGACTTGAGAGATAAAATTCCTAGTTAAGTGTATATATTATATTTTTTGTAGGTGCAGCATGCCATTTCTTGTAAGTGTAATTATTATAGTTCTGGCTATTTCATTTCAAATAGCATTAGGGGAAGAAGCTTCTGAAAACTCTAGTGCTTTGCCATCACTAGTGTCAGGAATGCATGATGTTGTTCTCCACACTGTTGCTTGGTGCCCTGAAATTTTTGGGTTCCCAGCAAATAATGATATTGAACAAAATATGATATGTAAAGTTCTTTTAAAACTTCAAAATCTGTACAAAGAAGAACGCATTCAGCGAGCCTATTATGGAGGACCTGCTTATCATACGTATGTGTAAGTTTGCATTTAGAATTTGATCAAAAGAGTAGTTACTCCTTAATAAATTTTTGAAGTCTTCCTTGCATTATGTCAGGTCTGGATTTGAGCCAATGACTCTTCTTGCTGGACTAGCATTTTTGGCATTTCTACTGCAGACTTTGCATGCACTTCTTTATCGGGCGCCTGCTACAGCCACATTAGCTCCGGTTTCCATATCAAGAGGATCTGTTGAGCCTGAATCAAAGATAACTGATACAGTTTTGTCTGCTCTAGAAAAATATGTAAGTATAAAAACGATGATTACTCAATTTATTTTAGAAGATTGATTTAATGAATTCTGATTTTGCTTTAAGGGAAACAAAATAAGTTGCCTATGTTACATGCGTTTTTAAACAAATAAAATTCATAAGCATGAATATTTTCCAGGACACAATGAATGAGAAAAGATCTTTAGGTGGTGGTGGTGATGATGATGATGCTACTGTGCTCTGGCCACCAATGATAAAAAAAATTTACAACACATTATCTACCTATTGGAATAAACAAAATTCACTTTGTAAGCATAATGTTCTTTGCCGATTGTTGAGACGGCAAAACCACAATTAAGTACATGGCAAGATTAACTCTGAAATAACTTGTATGACAAGAAGATTTACATTTTTTCTGCGTAATTGTTGAGACTTTTTGGTAATTATGGAAAGAGTATGTATGAAAGAAAAGTATGGTGATAGTGAGCAATGAATTATCATGAGCAAGACAGTTCCCTGATCCGTCATGTTTTATTAGTGGATTTGCTAAACAGCAATGTTAACGGTTATGTTCAAATCTATTTCGTACCACGTATTTGTGAATCTGTATTCATTAACAAACGTAATTACCTTTCAACAATAAGTGGATAATCAAGTGTTGATTTGTCATAAATACAGTAATCCATTACAAAAGATTATCATTATATCATTCTGTTTCTCCCATTTATACAATTCAATATGAAGAAAAGCTTTGTGAAACAGCTTGTGCTTGTGTCTGCTTATTCTAAAATTTTGTTATGAAGACTGTAAACAAAGTTTGAAATATAAGAAATCTAACCAACTAAAACTGATTTATGATTTTTTTAATGTTTTTCAAAAATGGATAGTTTCAAGAAAGCAAGTTTGTGTGTGTGTGTGTACAAAGTTCCAAATGTGAACAGAAATCTTAAATTCAAGCAATTACTTTACATCATTCTACTTCAAAATATTCACTTGCACTTCAGTTCAGGTATTTATGGTTTCAATGAGTTCTTTAGATCACACATCTTACATGATTAATCACAAGTCTACTTGTTGACATCGATACTCTACTGTACTTTGCACCTTTCCTTCATCTGAGCTTTCTGAAGAAAAATAAAACAAATCACTTTCCTAAAAGGTTATGAATACTAGTCTTTTTAAATTTTCAAGTCAATTTCAATTTAAAAAAAATAGTCATTCATTTCATGTGATCCTATGCTTATGCCCACCTACCATGTACACTGCATTACATATGCACAAAAAAAAAATCCAAATAGTACATGTGAATCAATATTTGAAAATCATTCAAAAAGTACAGGTACTTGCACTTGTAATATATGTATCTTTGTCAGGTCACATATTATATTTTACACCATACCTTTTCAATTTTAGTTGTAAAGATAATATGCTTGAAAGATAGCAACAGAAACAGAAAGGCATGTTCGATTGCAGAAATACTAACGTAAAATTCATTATAGAAATAATAGATTTTGTGGATAAAAATGATTTATGTACTTGAAATTGACAGTCTACCATAAGAAACAAGTCTAATTGCCCCAACCATAATGGTAGTGGCAGTTATTCTAATCACATTGATGGTATTTTAACTTCTCTAGTGGTGGGGCTTTGAGTAATCACCACTTCATTATCCTAAAGAAATCAGCCTGTGTTTCATCATTCTTCCATTTTAGACAAAGTAGCTCTTTTTAACAGTAAACAATAGTGACACACTTCCAGTCTTTTCTCAAGTAACATCATTCATTCTAAAACAGAAAAGTCACAAATTCACCTTGGCCAGGAGTACGTAATGCATTATTGATTTCGGCCAAATCCATATCTAGCATTCAGTTTTACTTGCTTATTTCCTTTAGGATATTTATGTCAGTTGAAGCTATAAAATTTGCAATATCAGACATTCGATTTAAGAAAAATATAAAACAACAAAACTAAGTTTACTGCCCTGTTTTCACGCTGGCATGCATAAATAGGGATTTCAAGAAAACAAATACTGTAATTTTCCACAATACTTCATAAAGAAACTCACACAATCATCACAGTCAAATAATTCTGGAAATTTCTTCCATTTTGGCATGCAGTTTCATTGTGCAATATAATATTACATCATATATCAATATGTACATATGTATTGGTAGTAATCATCAACTTCCGACAGACATGGATGCCTTTATTGGTGTATGTTCTCTGCAGGAGTGGGTTTGAATAACACACATATATTTTCACTTTCTGGTAGACAAATGCACATCCCCAAGTAGGCCATTTGGTAATACACAACTAAAAATCTTTTTGCAATTGCTCAGGAAAGCTCAGTATTTTGGCTTCTCTAATAATGACTGGTAGTCTACATTTCAGTCACAAGCAAAAGTGAATAATTATTTCTTTCATAGTTGTAATTTGTATTTCTGTTAAACCCAAGATAAAAATATTTCAATTACACTGCAAAATGCTACTGTACAGTTACATTGTAGAATCACAACCATTGATTAATAAAATAAAATTGGTCATTGTGGGTAGAGAAACAACTAGTTATGCCAATGTTTCAAAATATTTCATTTCTTCGTCAGGGCTAGAGTATAAAAAATGAACAGTGCACGAGGACAACTAAACATTTCAATACTTTGATTCATTAATTAACAAACAAGAATATAAACAACTACACATACATAAAAACATATACACACATAAAAACTACTGCTGGCACAACTAATTGTTTCCCCACCCACAATGACCAATCCCATAAACCAATTTTATTTTATTGTCCAGTTACAAATGAAAACTCTTGGTCCAATTAATAGTTTTATTTATTTATGAAATATACAGGGAATACATAGTTTCAGACTACATAAAATCTCTCTCTATAAAGTTAAAAAATAATTTCTATTTTATATCACCAGTATTTGTACATATTTACAATGTTTTGAAAATCATTATAATATTTACACATCAATAAAATTCTTCTAAAATTCACATCTTTTCAAAAGGCAATATAAAACTATATGAAAAAATGTAATCATATTTAAGTTTGAGAAAAAGGTAAGCTTAGGTACCACCACTTTAGAGTGGTATAGACTTTCCACTAAAATATAGAAATGGAGTGACTCAATATACATATCTTCAGCACTACAATACTTCTCAACAATATTTACAAGCATATCTTCTTGACTTGTGTAATCACAGGAGCCAATCTGAATTCGTTAGTCATCAAAATATCTATAAAAGAAGAAGTTGAAATATATGACAAGCTACAACTTAATATTAAAAATGTCCATAAACTTGCACATTTCACAAGCATTGTAACTTAACCTATTATCTTATAGGACAATTTGTGAAATGTTGCAAGTGTTTTTTTGAGCAGCAAATACCAACAAAATGATAACTGTTGGGGCTTGTACTGGTTTTTCGGCCTACAATTTATTACTTGTACTTAAAGAGTCTGTATGACAATAAAAAATAATGATCTGTGAATAATGGTAAAATAATGGCATCCACATTGACAAAAGAATCATAGAGAAGTTAAGGAATCCAAACATGTAAGATCAAAAAAATCAATCTGCTACTTCAGGTTGGCATTCAAACATTTTACATAAATGCAATGTCTGCCTGCCTTAAGAGGCTGGGAGCACTGCACCAGTATGCAGAGGCCAAGGCTGTAGCATTTAATCCCATGTAAAGCCTAGTGAATCTAGTTGTAAGGGATATTAACTTCTCATACCAATACATACATCCTATTTGCATCATATGATTATAACAATACAATCGTCATGGACTGTGTGTTTCTGAGTGTATCAATTAATCCTCGTGATAACCTGCACCATCATTCATACAGTGGAAGATGTGACTGGTCATCTGCCTATAAAAGGAAAGGACAAAGGTGTTTGCCTATTTGCTTTTCTAGGCTCCATCATGCATGGTTCATATCATCCATTGTATCTAGATATGTTTTTTTTAAGCCTCAATATAAATAGAAACTAGGCATTACATCAGATTAAACAAAAAATCTAGTCCTTTACAATAAAAATTGGACTTCACATGATAATGCTGTGTAAGCACGAAGAATGTTTTGACTCATTCATCTTCAATAATGTACCAGGCTGTATTCACATAAAGTAAAACAATTATGCAGAGGAAAACAAAAACAAAATACACTACTTTTTCAAACATATACAATACCTTCAAGTCCTTGGTAATAAGGTAAGATAATTATTTTAGAAGGCATTACTGTTTCCTCATTAACCATCACTGTGTAAAATTCAGGTAGTAGAATTTCTTGAACAGCTCTATTTTTAAGTCTTTATGAGAATCTTGAGGAAGATAGAAAGAACCTTTTTGCTCACTTTAGAGCTCTTGCCTAGTTAACTACTCTCTCACTAATGCATTACCCTTAAAAACTATCAATTGTGCTTCACATGCTGGAAGGTAACTTGCTATTCTCAAATCTCAAATCCAATCTTCCTTCCTCTCATGATACATAAAAATTAAAATAAAGGAGAATGTTAAACCAGTTTCTGAATTTAACAAAGTAAAAAACTTCTGGAGGCTAAGAAGAAGTGTTTTTTGGTAAACAAGCAGTTAATTCCATTATGTTTATAAATTATCTAGACCATAATTGTGAATTTAACACTTCAAGCAACTGGAGACACAGTGAAAACTTTGTGACTTATTTTAAATAATCTGTCAACAAATTTAAAAAGTCCTACATTTGTCAGTATTTTATTAGGTTGTCAATTATATATTACAATGGATCATATTTCCCAAATCAGACTTTCTTTAACATATAACACTTGTGATACTCATTCACTAATAATATACATATATATTTTATTATTAGTAATATTCAGTGGAATTGTAAAGTAATTTCTTGGCAAAAACATCACAAGTGGTGCATTTACCTCCTTACATTATTTTTAACTTTGCAATTCCCAAAAATTCTAAGAATTCAACAAAAATTAGGCCTATGGTATTTTTAAGCATCTGTGATGAGCCTACTTGAACAATATAATTTATCATTAAGCATTTCACCATCACGGTAGAAAATAAGTTATTATAAATAATTCATCAGCATGTGGCTCGAATGGAACGTACCAACATTAATATTATAAATCATTTTCATAATTCTTAAAAATTATAAATTTCCTACAAACATTTCATTGCCATGTGCCCGAACAGAACGCAGAGCAGGGAAGTTTAAAGGATGTTGACATCTGCCTTTCCAAATGACGTTCTCGGGGACATGCCTCAATAAGCAGCAGGGTATATCAAGAGACCTCCCACTGACACACACAGTTCTATCTGTAGAGTGCATCGCCACCCGCTCGACAGACGCAAAGGAAGAAGACAAATGACAAGGCAACTACAAACAACAAGATGCCCGCCGGAGAACTGGAGGCGATGGTAAGAAGCAAAGAGCTGATATGAGGGCACTCGACATCCTCGCCATCGCTCAATGTCATTTCCTTCTCTCTCTTTCTCGTATCTCCCCTATCATCCCTGGTGTTTCTATGTATAGTAACTTCAGTAATGATTAAGCAAATTAAACTTAACTTAATAACCACATCATGACTATTTCTTCTCCAACCATAACTCCCTTCCCCTTCCGGTCACTGATTATTTCTCGTGCGACAACCTCTCCTATGTGAATTACGCTCATTAAACAGCATTCGCATGGACGGGACGTGACACATCCTACACAATATCTAAGGCAAAAATGTAAAGAATTTTGATTCTAAAAAATTGCATTTAATTCAAGCAAAAGTACGGAAAAACTACTAATTCCCCCTCCCTCCAAAAAATTGTTTTATAACAGATTTCATAATGGAAAAAATCTATTTTCAATACTGTACTTTTAATTAATCTCAATTATTTTCTATTTTCAAAAAATACAGTGTGTTCACTGAAAATGGGACCATTCCTTTTATAGCATTCTTTGCTAACCTGAGAAAAAAATTGGAACTGCTTTTGAGAAAATAATTATTCAAACTTGCCTATATTTCACATAAAATTACACAAAAACAACTCATTTTCCAAAAATTGAATTACATAACCTTATTTAATAATATCTTAGAAGAACAGATTTTATTCAGGAAAAAAATCTATCTTCAATATTGCAGATGTAGGAAGAAGACGTCGAAACAATTTTTAACTTTTGCAATTTTCAAAAATTCAAAGTTCAACGGAAATGAGACCTAAGCCATTTTTTAAGCTACCTTTACTCTGAGGAAATACTTCAAAACAAAAATTGGTGCCGTTCTTAAGAAAATTTTGAAAATGGCGAGGTTTCTTGAAGAGTATTTCTCAAAATTAACATACCCATTTCGTTCTGAATTTCTTCTAATTTGATGGGGGAAAATCAATTTTGGAGAAAATTGTCAGTGGTTCAAGTGCTAGCATTGACCAAAAGCAGAGATAGACAGATGTTTTGTCCTCAACTAATTTTTTGGTATCAAGGACCCACTGAACGTGAATTCTGATTACAGTGTCAGAGGAAGTTATATAGCATATACAGGAACAATATTTATCAATTTCTTTGATATCAGGACCCTACAGTGCAATCTTATGTTTTGAGAAACTGCCAATTTACCATACATTACATTATCCTCTACTACATAAATACGTAGCACCTCAAGGAAGTAAAAATGAGCACATTCCTTAGTATTTTAGTTCTTATTGCTATATCTATCCACACTAACGTTTTTGAGTTTATTAGTTCAACCTTTCTTCAACCAACACATTTAATTTCAAGTAATTGGATAGAAAAATTAATCGTGATTGATAGTAATTTGATAGATTTGATAAGAAAAAAAATTCTAATAACGTAACCACATTGCTACATAAAGACTTAACAATGTAATCAAGTTAAAGGTTGCATATCTATCTTTTCAATAATCTAAAGAAAGTGGATAAAGCCAAAAAGTAATTAGGTTATTACTCGCAAATTCATTATGAATGATAAGAAAAAAAGAACACAAAATATTGACAATCTTATAATTTACACATATGACATTAATACAAGTTCATTGTTGCAGAAAAATTTAGGAAGCATGTTAGTTCTTATGTACAATGCAATAAATATTACAACACACAAAATAATATTACAATACACAAAAGAATATTAATTATTATATAAAGGTTTGGTTCAATTTAATTTACAGATTTACATTAGTTAACAGACTTGGCTGGGCAGAATATTCAAAACAACATACTTTCAAAAAAGCCTTTAAAAAAAAATTCAACTTCATAAATTCTAAAAAGTATGTCTTTCTTCCACTCCTGTATGGCTAAGTTGTTGCGGCCCTGTGTCACTCAATGAATACTTTTAAACCTTACATAATTCTCATACACTCAATTATAGGGGCAATGGACAATTTTAGGAATCTCATATGGATAAAATTCAAAATCAATTATTGAGCTCTTATAATTCACAGCCAACTATATGAGCATATTTATTCATGAATTCGAAGTTTTATTTGCCGCCAATCATACCATAACAAGAATGAAGTTTACTATATTAAAATTCTGTCACTTGTGTGAAGTATCACATAAACCTTCCAAATCCAGTCTGTTTGAATTATGTGAAATACATACAAAAAATTCAAGAATTTCACATAACAGGTTTATCATATTATCTTGGGTATATACACATTCATTTACCATTGAAAGAATTATTCACATGGCATGTACATAAATGCAATTAGACTCCCTTTCCATTGCTTACACTTTAAGACTTTTTAAAACGTAACTATGCATTATAAGTAATTATGAAATAATAACATGAAATTATCTTTACAATGTACACCTAACAACTTTTACTGTCATGTTTACTTGCCCACACAAAAGTGGAGCCTTTTCTCTTTACTTCATCAATAGATATTTCATATTTACACGTTTTCAATTTCAGTTGCACTTACCAGCTCGAACTCTAGGAGAAATAAGTGGAGAATTTCTTTTCAGAGTTTCTATTGTTCTGTTTTCTTTCAATTGTGTTCTAAGTGAATTTCTTTCTTGTAAAGATCCATTCTTTAGGCCAGAATTACTTTTTGAGACTGGGACTGGAAGGAAAATATGTAAATAAATAAATATATTGTACTTCTATCCACAAATTACAATATTGTTACCATTAATAAAACTATTTGAGTCTGAGAGTGGAAAAAAGAAAGAAAACAATATCCACAAAAAATAATATCTTTACAAATAAGACTATAAGCATATAATGTAAATCATAATACCACAACTCATGATATGTAACTCTAGAACTCCTTTCTTAAATTTTTTTTATGATACACATATGTTTCCATACCAGAGAGTATCTTTTTTTTTGGGTATACTAATTTGGCTCCCAACCTGTACTGACCAGTGTATACCTTTGCAATACATATCTTGCACTTTCCCAATACTAGGGGGAGGGGGGGGGGGAGGGATTACCTGTAACTTACAAATGCCGAAGTGCATGTATTTGCAACTGTGTACTAAGATAAAGTTAAATTTTAGTTAGCTAGTAAGACAATTTTTGAAATTCAATTTACAATATTTTCGAGTATATCAACAACTCAACTTTTGTTAAAATGTTACTTTTAATATTCTTAATATAATATTTCCTTTCTACTATTAGGAAATCGAAAAATTAAAAAATTTCAAAGGAATGTTCCTTGGGTGGTGATAGATGTCTGCAGGCAATATGTTGCAAGTTTGAATAACTAGCCGATACCAAAAGAAATAGAAAACTAAGATGAGAATTCTGTACCATCCTGTAGCACCACTTGTTTTTACTTTTGTTAATTTCAATAAGTTTATTAATTATATTATTTGTATTATCTCTTTTTGTATTTTATTTATAGGCTGACAATGACTGTAAAGCCATCGTCAAAATCTACTATGTAAATAAATATTGGAAGTTGATGAAGATTACTTATTTCACACGTTTTGGTTGCTGATGCACTTGCCTCATAGGGTGTACTTGAATAAAGAGGTAAAATACAATAAATACATAATATGGGAACTTCGACTGGACTGAACTGGAAGCAAGCATCTCTCAGTTGAAAGTTACAACGTGAATTGTTTTTTCAAAGCACGAAAAACTAAAATTACAAAATTACCACTTGTCAATCCAATTACTCACAGTACTTTATTTATCTCTGCAAATTCCTTCAGTCACGTATTTTAATTTTGTTTATCTATAACTTGATCTTCATAAAATTATGTTAACAAATATTCAATAGTTACGACTGCATTACTTTCTATTATTCTGTATATTCCGTGTATGTTATTTTATTATTTTCTTGTATAAAAATGATGTATTACTTTATTTGAATGTTATAGAGTTTTATATGGTTATTTCAGGGAGACACACAGGTTCTCATATTCTTGCAAATAATCTGTTTTATTTTTGTTATACAAAAAACCTGAATAAACATATAAGTTATCCAGAATCGAAAACTTGTTAATTTATTACACCAATGTGATGAAACAGAGTATAACAACCAAAACATACAAATATTCTGGTTAACAATAAAATTCTCACTCACCTTTTGGAACAATCTTGTTCTTGTCTGAGAGAACATTGTACTGAATTTTGATTGTCGCCCCAGGTCTGATTTTGAATTTATCAGGCTGAACTTGAAGCTTGTCTTTGAGAGTTGAGTTAGTAACTGGTTGCCTTCCAAAGCCAGTGGTACTAGGTTTTCGGCATGAACCTGCACTCATTACCATGCTTCTACTAGAAGAAGCACTTCTTATTTTAGGTAAATTTGATCGAATCATTTGAGGTTTGGGCTTGATCACTGAGGATGAACAAGTCTGAATGCTGTGAGACGAGTCTTTTCTTCCTGATGAATTAACACAGATTGCATTGGAGCTGAGACCAGGGGAAGGAGTATCCTTTGTGAAAGTAGTATTGAGAGAAAGAGTGTCTGGAGAGGACTCTGAACAATTTTCAGGTGTCTTCTCTTCATTAACACATTCACTTGTCTGGGAATCAAATGTAGTGTTAAGTGCACTTGAGCTCACTTTATGTTTCAAAACAACAGAATTGGGAGTTTCTTCATGGACAGTTTCAAGGCGTGTCACAGATTTTGCAATACAGTCTTCACAGTCCAAAAACGGATCCACTGAAAAAGTCTTATTAAAATCAGCTTTTGAAGATGACTCTAATGAAGGAATTGCTTTCTGGATGGGATTTTGTTCTTTACAAGGTGAAACATTCTCACAATCATCCCCATCAGGTGAAAGATACTCTGCAATACGACAAAGGCCCACTGAAGGAGTTGATGGGACACGATAATTATCACCTGGTGGACTTGCATCTTTAACAGGGCTGGAGAGACAGGCACTATTCTTGAATGACACATCTTCAGGAACTACTTTGGCACCCAAATCACATTTTTGGGGAGAGCATTCTGCTCTAGAGTCATCCGAAACAAAGGATAGATCCATTACCTTCTGCAGCATGGTGTATTCACAAGGTTCATCCCCCCAACTGACACCTTTTATTCCTGAAAGTTGTTGTACAAGACTCTGAAACAAAGAAACAAAACTGTTTATAATACACTCCATTCAAACTTCAAACCATTATTTTTACTAAATACAGCATTACCCCCGAATATTCACATTTCCCCCAATTAATAAGGTACATTTGGAATAATGACTTCAGAAGACAGTGAAGAGGTATAGGTATGTGTTACAGATAATATCAGAATCTGGGCAATTTGTGAATTAGAAAATGTTCACATTAACAAAAATGCATGCTTTAAGTCCAAAGTAAGAACTGCTTAGAAGCATACTTTGACTTTAAGCAGGCTAAAGTGTAAATTTGCTAACACAACGTGATTAGGGTAGGTGAAGTACATTACGGTGATGAGGAATGGTCAATATTACATGATAACAGGAATTAATGTTTGTTTGAAATCTCTTAGTGAGAGACAAGGTGTGTAATTTTGATTTCCACTGTAAGAAATGAAAATTCCTATTCACAAATTACCACAAGTTGGAGTGATGAAGCTCTGCCCTATGGAATTTACATAAAACAACCAAAAGTTTGTGCTATATAACTCGACCAAGCGAAGAATGAAGGTGGTAATTGCAGTGTGTGACGGAACTAACAGTTTTCGGCACAGGTGAGACACTTCGCGGGCAAGAAAGATGACTTTCTACTTTAAAAATTACCACATCAGACGCAATTGATAAAATAACAATTGAAGACTGGAAAAAAGCTGTCACTCACAAATAAAATAGCAAACAATATTGAGATGGGGATGCTTTGCTTGAAAACGCTGTTAATGACCTTGTACTTAATGTCGGTTCGGAAAGTGACACGGCCACTCTCTCAGACACCAGCCAGGAAATTCTTACAGCATCAGACACAGATACTGCTTCTACGGCATCAGCTGATAAAATATAACTTCAAAGCCATTACGCAATATTTGCACTCACTATTTTATTTTTGTCACCATAAGTTTGCTTTTGCTTTTTACCTATCAATTACAAGAATATAAAAAAAATCTGTCTTTTATATCAAATTTTTATTACTTTTTTGTTTTCTTCAAAGTAGTGGTAGTAGCTTCTTACATAAAAAATAATTTTATTTGATATATTCTGAGAAACTACTTAAGTTAAATTAAACGATTTATATATATGTTGCATACACAGGACTCTGAACGTTTAGGTCACCCATTCCTTATCACATGAGTTGCTAAGACATAGGTGAGAGACCAGCACACAAAGAAAGGCCATTAAGGAAAAAAAAATTAATAAAAAGAAAGGTGACATATGAAATACAGAGCATGAGAATGGAAGATTGAGAAAGGAATATACGAGAGCCTACTCTGCACCCCCTAGTCAGGATGTGGACTGACCTACCTCGACAAGGACATGCTTTTCATTAAATACTTGGCTGACTGGGAGACACCGTATCCCGGGCACAGGTGACACACTTTCACCTGCCATTCTGCAACCTTCCTCAGGGCAAAATGCATTTCGCATTGGGAAGATCACAGAAGAGCAGTTGAAATGTTGGCGCCTATGCCTTAGGACATTGTGTCTCCCAGATAGCCAGGTAATTGATGACACGCCCAAGCCTATCCTCAAGCTTTAAGTTCTTGACTGATCTCCCAACATGTGTGGTAGTATACTGCATGTAAGCGAGTGTGTGTGTAAGGGGACATGAGTGAAGAAGTGAAAGATTGCATCTGTTAAAGTGGAGTTGTGGCATTCACTTGGTACTGATCAGATAGACCATCGTAAGATGCCAATCTAAGCAGCCAGCAGTTAGAACTTTCCTCTAGACAATGTCAATTCAACAACATTCAACCTATCTAGTGTCAAAAATTGATTCACAGCACTCAAACCCTACGCCCTTTAAATCAGCAAAAATATTAATAAGAACGTTTTAATTTTTCATTCATTTTTAAGACAACGTACCTTAATGGTCAAAACCATTCTTCATAAAGTAAAAGTAACACATAAAAATAGAATATTATAACAATTAATATACCTAGAAGTGTTACGAGTGTTATTACTGCAAAGGCCAAAAGTTAAATTTCGATGGGGCAGTGAGAACACTAATATTTCATGTCAATATTTCAATTCAGCATTTTGTCAGTCACCATAAAATATCTCGATTTATGCCAAAATGTATGATCAACGAGCCAGAATACACTACAGAGAGACTGACCCTATAGTTCCGCTCTTGTTCAATGCTCTTCAATGTCGCCATGTTTTGCAGTAAAAACATGAGAGGTGCCTGATGGTGGCATGATGATTGTATCAGATCTTATTTCTATAATGTTGTCTTTTTGTTTATCTATATTAAAAGTATATTAGTGTTTAGAATAATAATATTCACAATTCCCGAACACTGTTTCAGTATGTTTGGCAAATATCTAAAAATAAAGTCCTCAAACAACAAATATATCATTTTCCAAGATCGCCACCTTACTTGTGATGTTTGTTTGCTTCTTATTACAATAACATTAACTTTCAGGCGTTATGCTAATTACAATAACATTTCAAGAGATACCATTATGACAATAACCAATGCAGAAACCAATGTGTATTTAAAGTTTTTTCATTTATTCTCCCAACACATTGTCATTCTGTTTTTAAACGATTGGGTTTTGGTTGAGGAAGACAGAGTATGAACGTTCACCGACCACATCAGCTGCTTATGATTGGACAAACAGTAGCTTGCTGCTTGGCGAATGCTGAATTTGTGGAGTCGCTTGTTTATTAAGATTCACATCATTTCAAAACCTCGCTACAGATCACGTACAGAAAATGTATTAAAATAGTTTAGCTAAGAACCACAAATGCGCAGAATGAAAGCTTACCAAGTACTCTTCTTTCATCTGGTCAGTTACCTTTCCAGAACCATTGAGAACAGAGTAATAATAATCCATAGATTTACATATTTGAGTAATAATTCTGTCTGAATTGGTCATTTCATGCTGCTGTTTCAATAAAAGGTCTTTGTAGTATTTTACTTGCATCTCGAAGTCGTTCTCTTTCATCTGAAATGTAAAAAATCATCCTAAGAAGTAAATTATTTTAATTGTAACAAGAAAACTATTTCAGGTCTTGTTTTTGAATATTCTTGTATTCAAGTTCATGGACATATCTTATAAAGAAACTTCATTTTACGAATATATCCCACTGACATAAGGCACACATTAAACTTGTTTGAAGCCATTTAAAGCGAAAAATTAATATGAATGTAGACCAATAAACTAATGCTATTATTCCTCGGTAAATTTGTACTTTATAAGGGGCATTGCAATTCTAACTGATAGCACTGTATTGCAGAACAATGTGTTTTTGTATTGTATCAGTTTAGCAGCATAAAAGTAAAGGTAACCCAAAACAACCTTGCTTTTGGAAATTGCAAAATTCCAGCCCATTGTTATGCTAAAATGCTTTTACAGTCTAGTTGACTCACTTCACTCGCACAGTTAATACTGAGGCTCTAGGCTTCAACCTCTCTGACTAAAATAAAACAATCTTCTAACGCAAATTAACCAACACATTTTCATTTCAAAATACACATGAAGGGATCCTGCTCTCTTCACCCTTCCCAGCATCCACAGAGTGGCGAATTTTAAGTGAAGTAGCCCACTTAAACAAAAGATCAACCTGGTGTGTGTGTTTTGCACAGTCCACACAAGTTACAAAGTGCTGTTTTTCATATTTCTTGGCATATTCATAGTTCTCACAGAAAAACTGCAAATGAGCAATTTCAATTGAGTTTTTAGAAATCAATTTACACCTCTTATCACACTTCAAAGAGCAATAAAACATAAAACTTAAAATGGAAACAGAATATAAAAGGAGACAAAATATATAAGTAGTTAGATTAATAGTTAATTAGTTACCCCACCTTACTAGTCCTCAATGTGTAATGAGCAACCATTAACAAGCATTAACTCATTTCCTACCTTATTCATACTCGCATACCAGCACTGTAAATATAGTATATCTTATTTCAGGTAGTGAGGTAGGTGGAAGTGTATGTGTGCATATGTTTTTGTTGTTTTTAAATAAATAAACAATAGTACCTTTCCTGAAAAGTGATCTATATCCTTCTGAAGTTCTTCTATTAGACCTTTTGCTTTAATATCTTTCAATGCTACTTCCCGTAAATTCTTTTTCTCTTTCAGCAACTTCTGAATCGATTTCACTTTCTCTTTGTATACTTTCCTTTGAATTTTTAGCTTTGCTATAGAATCATCCACTCGTGACTGACTCTGAAAATGTTAAAACAGTGCACAAATCAATAAATTGCGAAGAATAAACAAAAAGTCTAATATTCAATTATAAAATGAAACATTACCTTTCCTTCACCCAACATGTATTCAAATATCTGAAATCTTTCACTTATTACTTGCTTTTGATAAATTCTCCAGTCAGTTGTTTTCATTTTTACTTGATACATCAATAATTCTTTTCTGTATTTCCCTTCCAATTCATATAAGCACCGTAACACTTGTCTACCTTTTGCAATGTCAGGACATGACTCGGAATCAAATCCCTTCCTATCACTTTGATTAATTTTACCTTCTTTCAAACTCTGAATTTCATTTTCTAAATCAAGATTTCTCTGTTTTAATTCCTCAATAACTTTTTTATACTGAGCAACAGACATATCCACATTCATAAGATTCCTGCGAACCTGAAGAAAAATAAATAAGAATTTAATGTTCTTTAATCAACAATAAAAAATAAAGTCAAAAAGAGTAATTAGTTATGATCGACAAGTACTTATTTTTCTACAGATTAAGGAAAGGGAACCATATGACTATATACACCTATAAAGCAATTGACGCCCCCCCCCCCAAAAAAACAAGAGTAAAATGAGGTGAGCCACCAGGCAGAAGAGAACAGAGAAACAAAGACCAAACAAATGCAAAGAAATTATAATTTATAAGAAAAGGTGGATATTCCAGCACAGACTTGGTTGTGAGCGAAGTGAGATGCACATTTGTCCCCTGGTATCATCCTCACCACTAGTTGTCATCAAACGACAAACCCAAGCGTAAGAAACATGAAACAGAAATGGATAGGGAGTTAATAAATATTTAACATAATGATATTAAATTGAATTATTTTTTTATGTCCAGGGTACAATGCCTTTATATCTTCTATTTGTGTCTTCGATTTAATCTTCTACAGTTGTGCTTCTAAAGAGAGCAGTTCATCAATGACATTCGGCAAGATACATCATCATATCCTTTGCGACTTTACTTTTAAAGACAAGTTTCATCGATTCGCTTGCCAGATTCAAGTCATGGCGAGGCTCTGGCCTTCAGCCCTCACATCGACTATAAACAACCTTGAGTCTATCCACTCATAATTACTAATTCACTTTCTAAGAAAGCACTATAAAGGTTATGTTCAATACCCTGCATTATGTCACTACGGTGACAGGCGAATGAACATCTCACAGCGCATAACCCAGTTTTCACTAGAATAGCTGAAAAAGTTTATGCATGTTCTGACTGAAGAGAGGCAGATCAACACAAGTAAAAAGTGGATGAATAATTCAACATCAGGCTTTCATAAACATTTTTGGTTACAGCCCCCCCTCTCTCTAAAAACTTAAAAATCATACATTCACATGCAATTAACTTTACCTACTTACACAAATAAAGTTATATAATTCAACACTTCTCTAATTTTGAATATTAAGTTTTCCTCACTCATTCACCTTTCATCAATATGTGTGACATTTTTTTAACATCAGCATTCACAAGGTGAATTCTAACACAGACCTCTAAGTTAAAAACTATTTTTCTTTTGAAATCAAAATCTATAACTGGAACATTGTAGAAGTTCAGAATACTATTAACAAAATAAAATTCAAAAAATCTTTATAAACCTTTTTCCTATAATTTTTTCTCTCTTGCAAAAGTAATTCACAAGCCAGGGCAAATAATTTTGGGGTAAAATATTTTGGTCTATAGTAAAATAATTCTGGATACGAATAATTTTCAAAACATTTGTCACACAATTACTTTTGTATCTGTGTCATTTGCAAATGAAATTAGAATACAATCTCCAATTCATTATTGTGGGAGAATTTTTCTGTCATCCAAATTCAATGCAACTTGGAATTAACAATGGATACTGATCTTAAGATAAAGGGCTGCTTCATAAATAAGTTGACATTCCAGAGATGGAATAGAAAGACTAGAATGCAAAGAGATTACACGAGAAAAAAGTAAAACCATTCAATAATGCAAAGCTCCAAGACCAATGAAGTGTTAATAAATATTTTAACCCTTTGACTGCTATTAGCATGCTTGTATGTCGAGCGAGACATATGATCTTGCTGGTATTTGGTTTCTTTCATTTTAACCAGGACATGAGGCACTATCCTATGATTCTAAAACTACCTTTCATTGTAAATAGGTAGAGCTAAGATCATTTTTCTCAGGTCTGGACAGTTCTGGTTGCTGCAGCCTGTATCAACCAGTTTGAGTTGTTGATTAAAGCTGAAGATTTATTTCAGTTATATAACTTGTTTAAAAAATAGTAGAGAAAAATCTTACCCTATTACTGATTTTTTTAGCTCTTGTGGCATAATTAAGAGTGTTGAATGTCTCCTCATAAGCAATACTTGAGGGAGCAACATTTACTATCATAACAGTTTTGCAGTTTCCCCCAAGAGAATCTTTTAGAATTCGAGTCAACTTTGAATTTCGATATGGGATGTGTTTGTGACCTTCTGCAAGAGCATCAACACAATTTCCTGTAAAAAGAGAAATAGTTGCAATCATTACAATCTTATCTTCCGACACATTTTTTTATATGTATAATTACAAAATAAATGTCTTGAAATTGGTTATTACAGATAACACAGAAATACCCATAAATCCTTGAGAAGCAAAAATTAAATAAGTTCCAACAAGTTACATTAAATTAAAAGAACAGCATTCATGCACATACCAAAGTGAGAGTCATGTGCCAAAAACTTCACTTTGATATAATTTCCACATGCTTCAAGGAAATATTACCAGTCAGTCAGAACAAGTATCCTTTGGAAAGTTTCTTGACAAGACTTTTGGCAAACATTTACCATGAGCTTGTGTATAGTACTAATACACGGGGGAATAAGCCACAAACTAAGAATTATTAAAATAAACAGTTTGTGTATCAATAAATAAAAATAATGCCTTATGAACTACACAACAATGAGTATTGTAGAGTCCATGCAGCTACTCAACTCAGCAACTTCAATTTATATAACATCTAAAATATTGTTCGCAAAAATAATTCATAAAATCATAAAAAGCAAATATTTCAGCATAAATAAATACTCCTTAGAGCAGGTCATCTGAAAAGAACTCCAGGAGTCATAGTGGAAGGATGCAAACAAGAAGCCTTAATGTATAGTATATTAGTTAAAAAAAGAGATTGTTTTCATGCATAATAAAAGGTTTCATCCTGGCTCAATGAATAAGATTGATCACATAAAATCAGTAAAGGGCTGGTGTAAGAACACACAAGACCTGCACAGCACTTTGCACTTTCACTGACCTCGGAGGTCCGCACATGAGCAACTCGATTGCAAATACGGGCAGCAATGAAGAGCATGAGACTCTTCCTAGGAGTGGGAACCACCAAAGATAATGTGCAATTCAAATCATAGCGTATACACTGAAAGAGCAATTGGCAAGAACATGATGGACAGTTACATACAGTTCAAGCAATACTGCCTTTTGTATTATTTTGGAAATATTTGTTGTCGATATATGAACCTTAAAATAAATTAGAAATACATATTTGATTTCGACATCAAGTATTAAAATTGCCTGTACGGCTGATTATGTAATTCACATTGCTACATTGTATATATTTCAAATATTAAATCAACAAACACAATTTATCCAAAATTGTTTACAAACCTGTATCAAAAAGATTAAGACCTTTGCATTCTATTTAACAGGACCCATTGATGACCCAAAGATCCCAGGACCAAATTATGTCCCAGGATCTTTCAGGTGATAAGAATGATAGCCCTAATAACAGTGGGGAGCTGTCCCTACTGTACCCTGATAATTACAAAAAATAACTAAATGTAAAACGTGTTCTACACGTTACTATCATGGCTAGACTGAAAGTGTTATTGAGCAGTGAATTTCCGAAGTGTTGTTCGGCATATTGTATGATCTAAAATTTGAATTATTAGCCAGCAATATCTATCGTCAACCAGGGTAGTATGGACATTTCACAGCTTGATATTTATTCCGCAATTTGAAATGCAGAGAAAAGCATTGTACATTATTTAATGGCACCAATCTTCTCGCCAATATCACCCCTATTTTGCATGCTTTATTTTTAAAATCCCTACAAGGATCATTCCCACATATCAGAAACACTAGTTCTATTATCCTAATATACAAATCAGGTAGCTGTTCACTTGGTGTAACTACAGACCGATCTCAATCTTAAGAACAACACCCAAGTTTTTTTTAATCTGTGATAACTGATAAACTTTTTATTATAGTATCACATTTACCATTAGACGAACATGAATTTAGGCTGAAACAATCTATCAATTCAAATCTTTTCAACTTCTTGAAAACTTAAAAGATAATGGGCAAACAGATACTATTTATACGGAGTTTTCAAAAGCTATTGATACTGTTTGTCACTATTTACTGATAGCAAAACTTCAATATATTGGTATTCATGGTAAGCTGTCAAGTGTATGAGCTACCAAACATTATCCTTCTTGAAATTGCCTACATTTCATTTTTATGCCAATCATGATGCAACATGTCTCTTAATTTCCAGTCTTTAAATAACTTTGAGTTTGGTCAGGTACTCTAAGGTACAAATTCTAGAGTTCCAAATACTATCAGGACAACCTGTGTTTTTATGTCCCACGTTCAGCTAATTTCAATTCCCAAACTTATATTTTAGGTGTTTCTCTGCCCCCTTGGTTATATTATGACATGATGATTAAGGCACAGCAACATCTACGCTTTTTATCCACATTCCCAACATATCCCATTTGTTTGCCACTATTGTACAATCAGTTCGGATATGTTGGTTCTACAATATTTCACACACCAATGTCACAGGTGATTATGCTTGAACAACTTTAAAGCATGTTTAATCAAAACGAAATGTAAATACATTTTGTAGCTTGCACTTTTAGATAATAAATTCTTACTGTGAAAGGGGCATTGTATGTCCATCCCCAATCCAGAGTAATTTTTGTCTAAAAAACAAACAACAACGAAAAGAAGAGGGGCAAATATGAAGAAGGGAAGATCACACGCAATCGGCAATTCATTTGATAGGGTACTTTCCAGTAATATGCCCAAGAGTGATTGGACAAACCACAAAAATTATCACAGCAATTGACAGCCAGAATTTTTCTCCAGACTAAATTCAACACAGTTGTAAGGCTAATGTTGAAAATCTACTACCTTTGGGACTCCGCCAGAATTAGCCTATCCTTCACAGAACAGTCAAAGAGGAGGGAGATTAAGAAAACCACTCACCTAGCGCCAGCAAAGATTTGTTGATATTTGAACCCTCAGAAAATCTCACTCCTTTTCCACCAGTAGCAGCCCCACGCTCAGATCCTGCCAGGTCAATCATAGTCAACTTGGCAATTTTTGTTTCCACACTTAATTTGTGCGTGATGCACAAATGTACCTATGCAATTAAAATGCATACACATGACTACTCATACTAGATTACACTTACTAAAAAATAGTTTTCAAATAATAGGCTTAAATTAAGAAATAATGAAAGTTTGTCTGTGTCCATGCGCATCACAGAGCTTGGATAAAACTAATACTACTTTCATTTTTAATTGCAATAATTCGACACACAACAATAAACGAACAAAAATATTTACTATATTTCAGAATTTTGTGAACAAATTATTTTCTATTATGATTCATTCTTTTCTTCTTTTCCATTAGGTAATACATTATAATGGGCTAAAAGTTAGTGTACAGTACAACCTAAGCAAGTCATTTAACCTGGCACTTCGTGCCGCTCTGGGGAAGGGGAAATCGACGGTCAAGGGGTGTTTAGGGGATTATGAGGGGAATCTTTCGGTGGGGAGGAGTGGTGAGCAATATGCGTGTGTGTGTGTGTGTGTCTATATATATATGGGCGCATTTAATTTAAATTCTAAAAATACACTTCTGAAATAATTTTAATGGTTCGTAATTGGTCTTGAACGTGACGTCAAAAGTTAGGAGGGGAGGCCAATTTCACCGTAGTATCTCGTCGGAGCTTCATTTCATGGTGGTGCCTAGTAACATTGAAGTGATGTTTTTCTGTGTCAGGGTAGCTGTCGAAGTGGTTAGCTACGTTGCTGTCGTACAGTTACGTTTCTTGCGTTCTTCAAATTCTTTGCGATTTGTGTTTTTGAGAGTCTGTGCTACGATGGTGAGAATGGCTATTTTTTACGTGTTGCGCCAAAGGGGGTGTTTGGCTGTTATTGAATGGGCCCAAGAACATGGTTTGATTCCTACAGGATCTAGGTGTCCTGTGTGTAAGTGTCCAATGAGGTTGGCCAAGCGAAAGGAGTTGTGTGATGGTTTCAAGTGGAAGTGTAGAAAGAAAGGGGCCACTCCTCATGTGTGAAAGTGTTCAGTGCAGAAAGGGTCATAGTTCGCGCAACTGGCCAGTTTGACAGATACCTGGCAGAATATATTTGGAGACGCCTTCAAGGGGGCAAAAACCCAACTGAGAGGTTTTTGCCGTTCCTTGAGGGCGCCTCCATACTCTATGAACAAAAACAATTGCTAATCGGTAAGTTTTATTCATTTCCACCAGAGCGCTTAACATAATTTGAGGGAGAGCTTAAGGTGACTCCCTTTCTCCCCCTTCCCACCGCCATGCTCCTCTAAGAGTGTACCGTATACTAAATTTTAACCATTTATTGCAAAGCAAAAATTTCTTTTGACATTCCATCATGAGTCAATTAATCTAAAACTGAGCAACTTTAAATTGTAACACACTGACCTGAAAAACAGCATGTGAGCGAGATGACTCAGCATTTGAATCAGTAGGATGTTGGGTCCTATTGCGATTCCCAAACTCGAGCATCTTAAATAATTCTTCAGCACTTTCAATACGATGGGTTTTAATGCCAGAAATAACAGTACCATCTTTTCCGTCATCCCTTAAGTGGAGTGGTCCAGACGGGCAAATTAAATCCTTCACCATTTCATTATATACCTACAAAAATAATAAAGTTTTAACTATACCAAAATGTAAACAAAAACTGAATTAGAAATATAATACATAACTTACTTCAAGATAAGAAATCTTCAAATCAAAGTTGTGATCTGATTTTTCTTCCATCTTCTTGTACAGTTCCACCATTGTAAGAAAAGCAATTCCAGGAGTTTCTTTGTTTCCCAACATGGTGTAAGTTTTACCAGCACCAGTGGCACCATAAACAAAAACTTAAAAAATATATTTTTAAAGCAGTGCCCCACAGACCAATAAATATACACAGAAGCTTTTCTCAAAACATTCAATACCTGAACAATTAAATCCGTCCAGAAGTGAAGAAATAAGATTTTGTGTAGTTCCCTCAAATACTTCCTGGTTGTTAGAATCTTGATCAAACACTTTATCAAATTGAAATTCCAAGTTTTTATACCGTTTTTTCAACATATCCCTGTTCAACTGTTTCAGTCCACCAACATAGAAATCCCCTTCATCTTCCTTGGGATCAAATACAAGGCAATTCTCATCCAGAACTTGTACAACTTGCCTAAAACACAAGGAAACCCTATGGATTAAAGACACGCTTCTGACAAGTAGTCAGCAGCACTAAGAAGAATGATCTACAGCTATGGAAAGCATGCATAATTATCACAAAACCTCAAAACGGAAAAAAAAACTATCCCTAATAATACCTGGTTGTGGAGTCTTTGTCGTTCGGTGGACGAACACGAACCACTACATTAATGTTCGAAGATGGTTTTTCTACTGTAGAAATACGTCTCTTGAATAATGATGTAGGTCTTTTTAATGACCTAGGTGTGTAAGTCACCGACATCCGCTTCCTGCTCCACATTTTAAATGTCACAATAACAAACCTTTATCTCAGTCGCACACTGGCTGTACTCAGCCGTTTGAACAAGCCTCAACAAGCATTTGAATAACAACTGCCAAAACTTGCACATGCGCAGTACGCGAAGCGTCCACGATGCAAGGAGAAACTTACTCCAGTTACTCTGTGATACATGTAGTTCCACTATGCGCCAATAGGTAGCGAAGCACTTCTGTCTGAAATTGAAGTGCAACAATTATTCAATGAGAGAAACAAAACATGTAAGAGTTAAAGTGTCAGGGTAAAGACCTGACTTTGTTTTTTCTATGAGTTATTATGGAATATTTATATCTAAAGAAACAAGAAAACTTTCAAATTAAAAGTCTAAGCAATTCGACTTTTTAAATATGAAAATGGACGAACCTTTCCAGGTCATCCCTAATGGAGTATTCTTATTATCTCATCTCACCACCCTTAAAATAATATAAAATGTCATTTTCAAGGGCTCCCATTCTCAGATTTAATGACACCAAACCATCTGGTGAGTACTTTTTGGCTTAAGTATATTTCTTTCGTGTTTTCAAATTGTTTTGTATCTAGTAAACTAATAATCAGCCTCGGCAAAAATGCTACTGAAAAAAAAAGGTTTCATTAAAGTAGCACGCCCACTTTTGAAGAACAACAAATAAATTACGCTAGTATAACATTGCAACAAATTAAATATTTTAACCCAGACGGTCTTAACAAATACTACAATAACATACTATTGTATATACGGATCCACATTATTACTTGCAACAGTTAGTTATGCAACCTTAGCATAACAAGAATAACAACAAACATGCTGTTTCATATCGCAAAATGTAAATACAAGATATTTAATGGCAAGCGATCACTTTCTTGGAGCCTTGTTGACAAATGTCTTCAGCTGTGTGATAAGCAGTGGCGCACAAACTGTGAAAGTTCAATCCGTAGACGGATGAACACAATCAAATAAAAGTCACACTGTGGCGACTAGTGCCCCCCCCCCCACACACACACACACATAATAGGGTTGCAGTTCCATTGAATGGCGTACTAATATATGTAATGTAAACAAATGCCTAATATAATGTTCTACTATACTGGGAGCTCTTGCTAATGTTAACTGCAAACTTTTTTTAGGCGGGTTCCGGAAGTTTCAGGTTTCTTCGACTTTCTATTTCGCGGTTTAAATTCGAAAACATAATGAAAAGATGAGATCCTTGGTGCTTAAAGCCAGTCTTCGTTCATGTACCGTCACTTTATAATAATTTTCCGGAATAGCAAAACACACCTGCTTTCGAATCACACTCACATTACTATTGCATTAATTTTCTTATGAAAACTAGATTTGAATTTTCGATGAAATACATTTTTACTTTTTCGGACTTACTTCGTAACAAGAGAATGTATTGTAATTGTGCGCCGGAAAAGGGCTGTAAACTCTTATTCGTCCTGGTAATGTAAAAGTGGATAAATCCAAACCTATATATAGTAAATTACTTCCTCTTAACACATGGCGTAGCCAGAATCCATGGGTCATTGATACAGACAAATCGATTGGCGGCAAAATGTCTGTCCTTTCGTACGCCTATCTGTCTGAGGTCAACGCTAGGGCCTCAAGTTTAGGCCCAAAGCCATTAATCCGATTTTCTCTAAAATTGAAAAATCCCGATCGATCTGAACAAATTGGAGATTTTGAGAGTTTCAAGCGGTGTTTTTTTTTAATTTTTGAAGGTATTTACATGAAGCCTCAAAAATATTTTCAAAATTGTCTCAAATATAGCTCAATATTTTTTATTAAACTTCGAATACCGTAAAGGACGCTTAATAGAATGATGCAAATCTCATGGCTGCAATTCATTGAAGTGCTTGTGTTTTTCGAAAATTTCAAAAATGCAATTTTTTGGGGGCGTTTTTCTACAATTACAATACTGAAGATATATATTTTTCTTAAATGAAATCTGTTTATTAAAGACATCTTAAAATAAGGTAGTTTCCGGTGATTTTGCGCAAAATATTGGCCATTTTAATTTTTAAACTTTTTTTTCGCAAAAACAGCTCCTATTTTTTCTTCAAATTTTCTCTTCATATGTATCGAGGGGCGGTAAAAAATATATGGCGTGAGTAAAATTTTCGGCAAACTCCCTCAATTTTCAAACATTGCAAAAAGTTAACATTTTAAAACTACAAAATTAATGTTAGAAAATTTTTTCTTTAGACATAGTCTATTGTAAAAAAGCAGCACTCAAAAAATGTCATCTACAATTTTTTGAAAAAAAGTTGATTTTGCGTAATTTGCCTCCGAAATTTATGCAATTTCTATAAAAATATTCTGAAAACAACAACATTTTTTTTCATTAAAATTACTCCTCGCGTGTAACAACGGACGGTGAAAAATATGGCGCTATAGTCATTTTCGGCAAATTCTCTGTTTTTTCGAAAATAGCAAAAAATGTGACTTGAAAATATTGGATTGGGACAAATACATTTTTAAGCGTCGGCCCGAGTTCGAATTTCACAAAGTTCCTATAGTATAGTGGTTGGCCGCGAGTTTATTCGGAAAACCTGCGAAATGTCACGACGCGAAAATATTTTTTGCTGATTGAAGACACTTTTGCATATTTATTTAGTAGTATATTACAACGGAACAGTTAGCAATAACAGCAGGAGCGACGACGAAAACCACAATAACATTTTTTTAAACTAATCACAAGGAAACAATTTACAAGTATGGATCTAATTCTCGCACACACTCGTACGCGTAACGACTCAAAATCAGTTAAAAGATCAGTCGGTAAAAGTGGCTCTGAGAATCGACTGATGTCACTGCAGTTCTTCTGATCGGGAGGTCCTGGGTTCGAGTCCCGATAGCAATAGTGTGTACTTTTGAGGATTACGGAACAGAAATTTAAATTCCAAAAGAAACAATAAAACTCTACTTAACACACATTTTTTTAATACAACAAAACGATTACAATGAACAAATTTTATACATTATTTCTTCATTATAACTATTTAAAAACATTTAAATTACAAAATTAAACGTTAATTCTTCAACGAAATAGCAAAAAAAACATTTATAGTATTAGTGTTGTAAGATAACATATTTTCAAAGGCGACATATATTAAGAAGCACAAAATAATGTTATGTACATGAAAAATAATTTTAAAAAAATAATTCAGAACTACTGACAGTATTACTACTCTCTGATGAATCTTCTGAATCACGTATACCCGTTGTCACTGAATCTAATAATTTATTATTATCTAATAATTTCATATTTTTTTAAATTTACACTTTTTTTATTTTTGAAGATGTTTGTAAACTTGTTACATGTGGATCTGAAGAAATGAGTATTCTGTACAGAAGATCCGCATTCGTAACTATTCTACAGATCTTCCTTGAAAATAATTATCTGTAGTGCTAGGAGTGTTTATATCTGGCTTCCTAGGCTTTTTCAGAATTTTGCCTAAAGAAAGAAATGAGTTCTAATTATTTCCCTTCAGTCGTAAGGCCATTTTATTACTTCCCCGTATACGTTCGTATATACGGAGTAATATACGCAGTATAGAGAAAGTTATGTACTGCTCCAGAAAATCGATTTCGAGACTTCAACGGAAATACACATTTTGGGGTCTCCTGATACCGAAGAAGTGTTTTTTTTCTTCCAAAACGTACATCTGTATGTCCGTCCGTCCGTCAAGTGTCTGTGAACACTACTAGCACCTAAACCATGAGTAGGATTTTTTTTCCAAATTGAAGAAACTCGTGTTCATCTCGCTCGAGTCAAAACTTGGATATTTTGAAAATTTCAGAAGTATATTTTTTTCGGCGTCTTCTTGCAACTACAAAATTAAAGATAGAGATTTCTCCTTCAAATGAAATTTGTTCTCCATTGTGAGTTCTTTCCATAAGGTCATGTAATTTTTTTGAAAGGTTTAGTAGTATTCGCGCAATATTGCTTGGAATATGTGCAATTTGAAAAAATTACAAAAACAGGATTTTCTCAAAAACGTCTCGAAATTTTTTCTTTAAACTTTTGATAGGGATAGTCATAAATAAACTCTATAAGATGACATAAATGCCATATTGCTCTATTCTTTTGTTTTTTTCCCAAAAATTACAGAAATGTCAATTTTTTTATTTGTCTCTCATGTCGTTAATATTCATATTTGCGACAATTTGTCCGCATTATTGTATTTATGAGTACATGTGCTTTAAATAATGTCATATAACGTTTTTCGAAAACTCAATCGTTTTCTGCGAAAACTAGCCCAAACACTACGCATTCTCAGCAACGTTCAAACACCATTTTCTCAAAAACGGTTCCAACTTTTTCTACAAACATTTCAAGCGGATAGTGCTAATTGCGCTCTTTAATATGACGTAAAGTTGATTTCGGTGTATTTTTTTGTTTTTTCAAAAATTACACAAATGTAAATTTTTTGAAAGATTTCTCATGTCGTGGATATGCACATTACCAGCAATTTGTAAACACTATTGTATTTGTTAGTTAAATTATTTAAAATGCCTTGAAATGAAGTTTTTCGGAAACACAAATATTTTCTGTGGAAAAGAGCTTCAATTTTCAAATTTATAATAGCGCTTCAACGCCAGTTTTTTAAAAACGGCTCAAAGTTTCGATTTAGGTCGAGGTTTTACTGTTGTTTATTAATCTTAAAATAATATTTTCTCTCTACAATTAGGAAACCGAAAAATTAAGAGAATTAAAAAAAGAAATGAACATTGGGCGGCAACGCTGCAGGCAATGATATGTGGCACGTTCGAAGAGCTAGCCGAGACCAAAGGAAATATAAAACTAATATAGTAAAGTCTGTGCTATTCTGTAGAACCACTAGTTCTTATTGTTATTGTAAATGTGTTGCATTCCGACAAACACAATTTGTTGCTGACCTCTTGACGCAAGTGAGAAATTATGTGATCAACGGACAACTGCAGAGGAATTTTTGTTGAAATTTCTGTTATTACCACATCTTGTAGACATCACAACTCTCTGGATTCCTTAACTTTATGATAGGGGATAAAGTTTACAAATTAGCAGCTTGTTCTTGTAATGGTTAATACTTATAAATGGGCAAATTAATATGTACCATTAATGCTTGTGCTTGTTTCGGTAATAACTGTGGCTTTTTAAGTCGGGACTTGCGAACCTTCTAAATAACTGCCCCCTATTTACCGAGTCACTAAAGAGTTTGCTTACAATTGCTGTCAAATCACTATTTTCGTCTTTTCTTAATAGAATCCATGCGGTCATACTCAACTTTTCGTTCGATCATTCTATAATATTTATTTCTGGCTTTTAGTAGAAGGGGCACAAGTACCAACGATTTTGTTAGTCAGCTAAGTCTGGCCATAGGGTTTCTTCTGAAAGAGAAGTACTATTCAATAAAATTTTTCAAAAATTCTCATTCAGCCCCGAAAAATAGTAATGAAGCAAACGTGCCTCTCCGATTTTCCTATTTTTCCCTATTTCTCACTAACAAAGCGACAATACTTGCTTATTTTCCTTTTTTCATATTCCAAGATACTTTTTGGAATTGTTCAATGTCCCAATTCTCGAGAAACTCCTGCAATCATTGCATCAATTTTAGATTCCATAGCACTTTCTAACCAGATATTATAAAGAACGCTTGGGGAATTTCAACGCGAAATTCTGAAAAAATTTTAAAAAATTATGAATTCGCAAGTTTTTACAAAATGTTTTTTCATATTTCGTTTACGAACAGATCAAGCTTTAATATTAGAAGGATACAAAGAGTAATTTGAAGGAATTCTAAACTGAAACCTTTGATAAACTTTCAAAATAAGTTTTCCGCCGAATAAAACCTGAAGAGCGTTTTATGAGTATTTTAAAGTCGTCAGAAGCTTTTTATGAAAAATGACAGCATAAGATAGGAAATAGTAGTTAATTATACAAGGGCGAGAAACAAACTCGTGTATGATTCACGCACGAGTCGAGTTTGTCGTCCGAAAGTAGTGAGGATCCCAAAGAGACGTACGCGGGAATGACCTCTCGCCCGTGTTGCGTGTGTCTCGCCCGTGTTTTTTAACACGCCGTGAGCGAAACGCAACATGTCAAATAAAGGAATATAATTTAAATGCCAAATAACTAGAAATACTTAATTGAACAAAGGTAAATGGATTACAGTGTCGTAACACTATTGTTTGTAAATAATAAACAAAGACGTCGTCCAGACGAAAGACAAAGGCGAATCGTTGCAGATGTTTTCGAGAAAACGCGTATCGTGCACAGTGTGTTAAAAATGAATATGGATTACACTTTGCTAATAAACAAAATCTCCACTCTACAGACGTGCACATCAAGCGAACTCACGTACTAAAATAAATAAAACGAAGTAGCAAAGAACCGAGCCAAGTTGTAACACGTTTAGACCCGCGCATCCGCTGTACCTGTCAACAATTTCGAAATCCAATATTGTTCCAATATGCTCTCGTCGACCGAGAATCGAACTTCAAAACATGTTACACGTTCTGTCCAAGTTAAATATTTGAATTTCTAGCGCATAGATTGCCGAAATTACACAGTGTGCGGTAGTAGGTATTTTCGACATTAGCTAGACAACTAGGTCAGATTCAACAGGTATCTGGAGGAGAATTCAAGCAGTCGGCTGCTCTGATCGGTAGTTTTTCATGGTTTCTCCGATCAACACCAGGCGGATGCCGGAGCAGTACCCTAACAAACGGGCCACGGATCGGTGCCACGCTGGTGGGAGATACCTGGTTAGGTAAAATCCCCACAAGCCGACGTAGGCCAGCACCGGACCTTGCCATCCAGTGCGGGTAGGTCAGTTTTTGATGGGGGACTTGCACCCAGAAGCGCATTACTATCATTATAGTACGTACAAGTAGGTACATAACATAGTTTTATTCTTCCGAAAGGTAACATTACGTTATACAGTTTTTTAAGTTGTTTAATTAAACAGTCTCTTCAATATTTCTCCAGAATTGCCGTTGATCTCCCGAAGGGTCTCAAGTCAGAAAATTCGACCACGGACGTTTCTTTGCTTTCGTCAAAGTGCAATAGGAAAAGTTTCCCTTTAAAATAAAACTCCACAGTACTGCTTCGTAAATTACTACATGCTGTTTCAGTCGTATATGTCATTCTTTTCTTGCCTAAACATTTACAGTTATTTAATTCTGCACAAACACTGATCACGAGATTTTCACTGAAATTCACATTTTTTAGGTCCCTGCTGTTGAAAAAGGGTTGTTTTGTTACGCCAGTCCGTATATTAAAAACACTATAGCCTTATCTCTACAGCATCCCAAATGAGTATTCTCCGATTGCTGGAATTTGAAAGGAATTTTTAATTTTTGGTTTTCTTAACGTTTTAGAAAATTTCGCCTCTACTTTTTCGAAAATTTCTCAAAAATAACTCCAAATTTTATCTTTAATAGATTGCACGAATATGGCAAATTACACTTGCAAAAATGGACAGGTTTTATTTGCAGGGCCGGCCCTACGTAGTAAATATACCAATTTCCGATGTGCGCAAGAATAATATTGAAAGGAATCTATGCAACCTCTGGCATTGTGAATGGTGTCTGTAGTTTCATTAGATCCGCAGTAACTCGGAAAAATAAAAAAAAACACTTTATTACTAGTTTCCAACGTGCGCGGAAATTGAGAGAAATGTATGCAGCCATCCACTTTCTGAGAGGTCTACGGTTTCTGTAGATACTAGTACCCAGGAACTAGGGGGGGGGGGGAAATCGAAAACCGATGAAGTATTTTCGCTTTTGACTGGAAAATGCAAATATTTGATAGCGTTGTTCTGCCTATTCACATATTGCGCGTACCCACTGAATTATCATCTCAGACCATCTCTGCTTATAACACAGCTGACGTCATGCAACTTCAGGGTCCTTGGAAGAGTTCGGACCTTATTTAATATTTGCTAGTCACAATTTGTATGGAATAGCAACTATTTAGATTTTATTGGTATGTAACGATGCGTTTTACTGTTTATTCGTATATTCTATACTATGTTATTGCATTATTCGTTAAACTATTTTGTTAAAATACTTAATTCATTGTAGGGTTATACGTGAATATTTAATTTGTTGCTCTTGAGAAATGTAAATTCTACGTTTTGGAAAACTATTTCGAATGTTTTTGTACATCAGCGTTTTTGTTGCCGCAGACCACTCGTTTTCAGTAAAAATCCTCTGAATTATCGGGAACTGCAACCGTGTCTGGTTAGCACACCTCCAACAACTACTTTATTAAAGAGCGATACTTTTATTTTCTGACATTCTACTTATGTAGTGTAGAAAAAGATACGTAAAGCAGAAACAAATCTAATTGTAAGTCCTAAATACCAGGAACGTGGACAATTCTTGTTCATACGAAAATTGCTTACACTAACACGTTGTGTATTCAGACTCCACACTTTGTGCGTCCCTGAGACCCAAACATTGGTTTATAGCAAAAAGTCTGGTCTTCTGTGAAGAACGCTAGCGGCTAAACCGTAGGCAGAATATTCACCAAAATTAATCTTCCCCGATCGATCTGCCTGATGTCACGGCCTCTGGAATTTAATACTGGTATTTTGAATTTTTAGGTACTTAACATAAGCCTAAATCACATTTTCAAAACTTTCTCAAAATATGGCCTCATTTTTCCATTTATTTTTTCTTATACAAAGCAAAGATTTAAAAATAGCGCTTGTCCGATTTTCATTGAATTCTCTGAATTTTCGAAAACTGCAAAAGTTTAATATGTTTTTGGCATCTTCCTACGAGTACAACTAGAATATTGCGCATATATACTTTTGTGAATTAGTTTTGAACACGCTCTTATTTATCAATTTTTTTTTAAATTAAGGCATTTAAAATAACAATATTTTTTCAAAAACGGTTCCAAATTTTTCTTTATTCTTTCTCAGACACTGCGAAGTACGCTTGTAAATTTCTCTAGGTACTTTTAAAGGTCTTCTGCTTCTGAGGCTATTTTAGTCTCTTTTGACATGATTTTGTGTTCTATTTCGCCAATGAGTTCATCTTTTTCGATACTTTGATTTTTATATTTTTCAGTACCAAATTACATTCCTACGTCGGTGCAGAATCTTTCAATGATGAATCTTTCGGTGTTGAATATTTTGATGAAATGAGCTGCGTTAGTCCATGTAATTATTTTCCCGAGTTCATCTTGATATACATAGGATAAGTGGTCTTGGGATTAACTGGAACCCTCCTCATAAAATGTTATTGGCTGCAAATTTTGTTTTAATTCTGCACCAACGTAGGAATGTAATTTCGTTCTGAAAAACTTAAAACCTTACATATTTATATGATTCTAGCGGTACCTGGCACACGTTGTTCTGCCCTTTATCTACCTTTTTTTTCTTCCCTTTCCCTTTCTCTCTTCGTCTCTCTCTCTCTCTCTCTCTCTCTCTCTCTCTCTCTCTCTCTCTCTCTCTCCGTCTGTCTGACTCTGTCTCTGTGTGTTTCATACACATTTAGATGCCGATACTGCACGTCTCTGAGCAGGTGGGGTAATATAGAGAAGGGCCAGAAGCATAAATGTAATAGAATTATTAAAATCTCATTCTATAGATTACGGTTTGAGAAACGTTTCTTTAAGGCCATCGGTTTCAAAATTTTAGTTTTTAATGCCCTACAACGTTTCGTTTACGAGTTGCTTAACCATATAGATTCAGATGTCATATTTTTTAAAAAATCAAGTAATTTGCGGATTGTCCCTATTACTAGTTATAGAAGATGCACAGCTCTTGGTATACATACAATCTTTTCGGATAGATACAATTTATCTCTTGTATGGTTTCGATTCCTCTTTATTTTATCAGCGTAGTCCACTTATGCGTCCATCAATTTTTTTCTGATTGATTTATTTTGTCTTCAGGAAATAATGTTCCCACTGTTAAAAGCCAGCACACACCGAGAAATGAAAAGAAAACAACCATTACACGAACTCGTCCAGTCGTGACTACAAAGAAAACTTCGAGTTATGAATCCGTAAGTGTAGTACATGTTAGGTATTGTTATTCGTTAATGTGAGTAAAGATAATGTTTCAACGAATTTTGTATTCATAATTTTTCGGTTTTCACAATTTTTTAGAGAATTGGGTAGGTGATCACACGATTAGTTTACATCTTTTCATATTTATGTCTGCTTGTGTGAGACATTCGGAAAATATTTTATTCAATCATATTCTCTTGACTATACCAAATAATGTGGTTATAAATGCAAGTGACATCTGCAATTATTTAATGAACTCTCTTTCATAGTTTAAAATATACCATTTTACCGTAACAACAAAACATTATACTGCTATCGTCTTTCTGTTCTAATAGGGAGAATGAACATTGTAAACGCAAAAAGGTAAATGCAATCACACATAAACAACAAAACTATAGCAGAGAAATGCTACACGTATTCAGTGGTTATTTCAAGGGTGTCCTTTCCCTTGTATCAAGGACTGTTTGCATGTGTATTTTGAAATTGAATCTTTAATAATAATTTTAAACATATTTAATAATTTACTTTTAAATATTATTTTATTAAATATTCCTGTACGAGAGAATGCATTCTACAAGAGCAAATGAAAGTGTTTCATTAAAATTGCTCTTCTAGCCTTGTATGTGTTCTCCCCTTGTGAAGTTCTTCCAAACGGAGCTCCGAAAGTGCAACGCACACGTGTTTTCGCAGGGTTCTACGAGGTCTCCTTCCGCACGAAGTCCTTGGGGTTTGTGTGCTGCGGGCGCTCAGCCTACTTCCCTCTCGCTGCCGACGACGCCCATCTCGCAAACGAGTTGTTCGCCAGCCGCTGTAGGCGTAGCGGTTGACTCCGCCACGTCTTCGCACACCCAGCCTGATGTCTCCCCGCCCGCGCGCCGCGTGCTCCATAGGTCGAGATCTTCTCATCCGGCCACAAGGCAACAGCATCAATCGATCTACCCGCCCGACCGCCCGGCCGTCGACGGGCCGGTCCTCCGCGGCCCCAGACGTCGCCCGCCAGCCGCGCCCCGCGCCCCGGGCCCCCGCCCACGCCGGCGCCGCCCCGCCGCGCGCGCGTCCCCCGCGCGCCGCTCCGCGCCGCCCCACCCGCCCCCGGTCGCGCCCATCACGAACGCCGACTCCGCGGACGACGCGGTGCGTTCGCTCGGATCTCTTGATGCGCGCATAGAAGAGCGGGAGGCGTGTAGAGTGCATGCAGAATGCGACAGTGATCTGTAGAAACTATAGACCACAGCATGCACACAGGGTTGCATTAAGATCTAACAATGACCGAACAAAGGGGCTCCTTAATAATACTCACCTATTCGTACACTAAGCAGTATTGAAAAATCTATTACAATCAAAATAAATATTAGAGTAATAAAATATTTGTAGCTAAAAACACACCTTTAAAATATTTTCATGTATTTATGACCTAATAAAACGTTTGCGAGCCATCATCGAGCGGCGTATCCTACACACGTACTTCATCTGGGTGGCCGTTAATTTAACCCTGCACCCATAAATGTGGCCATTTATAGTCATTAGTGTACACATTTATCGTCATAATTTAACTACAAACATCGTTCACCAGGCTTTAAAATTCAATATTGGACGTTTTACTTACAAATAGACTTGCATTCAGAAGGTAAGGCATGTGAAGAAACATTCCTACGGACTATAATGTGATTTTGCAATTTACACCGATCAAATTCTATTACCATCAATAGTTCAAGCATCTTCTCGTACATTATCAAACAAATAACGCGTTGTTAATCGTCGGTACTCATCCAACTGTTCGCAGTATTGATAAAGCAGGATCTGAAAAATCTAAATATACTCCTTTTGCAATAGAATATAAACAAACACACCACATAAACTCATTTCAGCCAAAAACAAATCACGAAAGTCATAAACAAAAATATATTTTATTTGGTACATATTTCAAGAAGTATCTGAAAAAGGCAGGTTTGGGTCGAAACATTAATTTTTATAGCTCAAATGTCAGTGAATTCTAACATATGTAGAATTGTTCTCATAGGGTTAAATTTTTGTAGCGTGCTCATATCGAGATGATCACTCCTACCTCGAGTTATGCCAGAATTGACCGCTCACACAGCTATCACCAGAGTAAAATTTGGAGACAGAGAGCAAACAGGCTCTCCCATTTTTCATACTTCTCCTGTTTTATCAACACTTGAATTTTTGGGAATTTCATATGTCCTTTATTCTGTTTTTGAAAATATAAATATTAAAATTGGACAAAAGAACAATTTATTAAAATATTCACTATTGAATAAAATGACAATACCCTTGCACAATACCATTAAGTAAATGGTCTGTACCATAATTTGCGAAAATTGGAAAGATGTAATTGTATAGGACTTCGCTTTCTTCCGAAAATTTTATTAATAAGGCTAATAAATTTTTTGCAGATCGACGACATTGACGACGCAAGCGTCACGAGCAAGGAAGAAAAGAAAACTCATTCAAACGCTTCCTCTGAAACAAAATCAGTGAAGGAGGATGACGGCGACAATACCGTGAATACCCGAATAAGATCCCGCTCCCCGTCTTCGAGACGCACGGTCGACAAACGTAAAACCCTTTTGGACCAGCAGTACCAAGACAAAAGGCGCAAATTCGTGGCGGCCAGGAAGGAGCTCGCAGACAAACAGAAGGTCGTATCCTCCGAGACAGTGTCCACCCACCAAGAGGGAAGGCATCGGCGTCCCGATGTCTCGAGTCGCGATCCGAGCTCGGAGAGAGACCGCTCGGAAGGAGACAATCTAGACACCGACAAGGAGGTCCACTCTTCGGGGAAGAGCACCACCGACTCCGAAGTGTGGGGCAAGAAATGCGACGAGGAGGAAATCGACACCGTTCATTGGCCGGACCCCGAAAAGACGGATGGTATGCGTTTCCAATGGTTTATGTTTTGAAAACGATTGTAAATTGATGAAGTTATCCAAGACAAAAATATTCTTTGCACATGAGAATATAGGCATAAAAAATTAATCCGTATAAAAGAGAAAATCCATCATTTGAATAGTGTGAAAAACCAAGTTTAGCGATATTCAGTTTACCTTTAAATATACACCAAAATTGTAAATTTTGAACAGTCTTTGGATATGCAATTGATCTTCAAATATGTGATATCAAAATTGTTAATTTCCTTCAGTACTGCTGCACGTCTATGCATATTTAATTAATTACAAAAAGTAGTTTTAATTCGAGAAATTACAATGAGTTCGTTTGTTTTATTGTTCACAGTACCTACCGATGTGGGATCGTGCATGCTGAAGCAACTACGCGATATTTCAAACTCCTACTCAGGACAAGTGAAAGAGTTAGTCAGGAAGAGAAACCATCTTCTTGCTTTAGTGGGAGGGTTGATTGCGATGAAAAGGCCCGTTGTATGCGAGGAATTGAGGAAGCAATTTCAGGAATGTCAGAAAGAAGGTATGTTATGTTACTTGCCATTCTCTAATGTGGATAACAAATGTACGGGTCAGTATCAAAACTTTTTTGTTGAAATCATTCGTACATTCAATTTATTAAACAAAAGAATATGCTCACGATGTTTGTCGTATTTATATTTTTAACCAAATACTGCTCAATAGATTGCAATGTGGAAACTAGAAATTTATGAAAATCTTTATCAGTCATATGAATCATTTTAAGTGAAAAACTTCACTTGTTTCTCATACCATTTATTATAAAGACATCAATAATAACAGAAAATTAGTATATTAAGTACAATGTGATGACGTAACTGAGCAACAATATAAAATAAAATTTCATAAAATAATAAATATTTTAAAAATAATTAAATTTACATTGATTGACCAAATTCACACTCACCCTTACAGATAAATTATAACTCGTGTAAATATTGTATATTTTATAAATATGTAGCAAGTACCTCCCTGGATTGGTCTATTTGGTTCTGTTGAGTGGCTCGTTCCAGCCGACCAGCTGGATTTGCGCATGGACGACATGAGGAGGAAACAGACAGACTCCATCTCGAGCTTCGGAGAAGCCATCAACAGCCTCGCGGCGGAGCATGAGAGGGTGAAGGCCGAATTGGCCACCGCTCTGAAGGTGAAGAGCGAGTTGGAATCAAGAGGGGTGAGTTCCAGTGTTAAATTTAAATATAGCGATGCAAAGAATCGGTCTGAATGATTATTGCTTTCAGAAAAGTCGATGACGCACATAGGAGTGGGACAATATGTTCACATCTCATTAGTTATGGATAAAAGGTCTATTACAGCGCATTTGATTTTAAGAGCAACATTTCCAGATATTTATTTTTTTAAGTTTTTTTGTTAAACATTAAATTTTGAAAACTAAATTTTACCAGAAAGTATTTAAATAAAAAATGTATACAACTCCTTGACAACAATTACATAAAAAACAAGTCAAATGAGTTGTTGGAGTATATTACATGCAATATTTGAATATTTCATTTAACCTTTCTTGATTTCGTTTACTTGGAAATAGATAAAAAAGTGTATGGCCCTCGAAACTAAAACAAGAAACTTAAAGATGCTTTCTAATTAGCACTATGTTGGTACGGTGTTTCTTTATCGCCTGCTGGCGATCAAAAGATGTTTTAACTACTCTCGTGAGTACTCCAGGAGGCGAACTACGGTGTAAATGCCTTGCGGCGGCGGTGCCGGAACATGACGGACTTTTACTTTGTATTTTACTCAAACAACTGAAATCAAACACACGCGACGGTAAAAATACGAAAGAAGTCTCACACACTTTTTTTTTCCTTCTGTAGATAAAATATCTCTGCATCACATTGCCCTATTATTTTTTTACACGTGACAAAACCAAAACTACACTCTGATTAAAGTTGGAAGTCCTTCCAAGGTCACCATTTGGCAGAATAGGGGAGGGGGCATTGTCATCGAATAGCGAATTAAGACTTAAAATTTTGGTGGTGAAGTCTACGACTGGGTGACAGTGCTCTCTTTTCAGCTCGAGACCTTGAAAGGACTTAGTGTTTTAATCGAAGTATATGTGCAGCCTAATTGATTAAAGACGAGCACAGTAGCACGAGTGTATAATTGCAAGGAACACATAATGTTTTTTAGCCACTTGTAATAAATACAATGTTTTTACCTGACTGTTGGAAAGAAAACGGAAGATTATATTTAAAATGATAAAGTAAATGTTTTTTTTTGGTATCACCTATTGACCGACTGATTTTGCTAATGTTCTTATAAGACGTACACTTAAAATCGTCTTGTAAGAGTATGGAAAGTACTAAAAATTCAATATGGATACACTAGACACCACTTTCGACGGTGGTGAACGATACAGCCCTGACGGTGGCACGAATTTCGACACTAGGTACACAGCCAGGTCGAATTCAGCCGCTGACGAGGTGAATTGAAGCTGCCGGCCCGGCTGCTCTGATCGGTAGTTTTCAGTGGTTTCTCTCATCAACACCATGCAAATGCCGGAGCAGTTCCGTAACAAACGGACCACGGACCGCGCGCGATTTTTTCATCTTTTTCCTTGTCCTATCCTCACCATTTACTTGGGAGACCAATCGGGAGCTTAGAGTTTGCCCCGGCTGGGGCGCTGTCCCGCTGGTGGGAGATACTTGGCTGGGGAAATCACCGCAAGCCGACGTAGGTCGGCGCCGGATCTCGCCGTCCAGCGGGGGAATATCACCGCCCCCTCTCGCGATAAAAACTTTCACGGGGCACAAAACTCCCTTACGGGACAAATACCCTTAGCAGTTGATGCGCTCGGCATCACTAACCAACCAATCAATCTGATGGTGTGTGGAACAACGCTGATGGAAGGGTGCCGCGCCCGCATCCATCTGACTTGGCACGTGGCCGCCAGGGGTCCGCGCGCCTGATCGCGCGCGCCACGGCGGAGGAGAAGCGTCTGCGCGCGCAGGCGGAGAAGGCCACGGCGCAGCTGGGCGCGCTGAGCGCGGAGCTGCAGCAGGAGCGCGCGCGCGGGGAGCGCGTGGACGCGCACGCGCAGCTGCTGGCGCAGGAGCTGCAGCAGGCCAACGTGCGCCTGCAGGAGCTGGAGGGCAAGCTCAAGGAGCAGACGGCCATCGCGCACCAGATGAAGGAGGCCGTGCGCCTCAACCAGACGCAGATCCACAACATGATCATCGAGCGGTGCAGGTACGGGATGCGCACGGCCAAAGCCACTCGTGCTTCCGGTGTACGAGAGACCTTGTTGTTTTTTCAACCTCCGATGGATCATAAAAAAAGGCAAAAGTAAAGAAAAAATGAATTTATTACCAGAATTTATGCACAAACATGGTTACTTTTATTCATAGTAACCGTGAAAAGAATAGAAGTTGACGGCCTCGACGGTATATTAGCGTAAGGGGTTGTTATATCCAAATGGCGATTCTAACCCGATCAAAACCTTGATTTTTTAAGGGGGAATATCCTTCGTACCCTTGCATTCAGAGGGAAAGTAAAATTGGTTCTCCTATGTTGTAGATTTACTGCATGTAAAAGATCCTCAAGCCTAAAACAAGCCTCTTGAGCTAAATCCAAACCACCTGTTACGTCGCCCGAGTAATGTTTTTTTTGTTAGCTGGGGAAGGATTTATTACGAAATTTGCGTGGTCAGACGGAAGATGGCCTGAATCTAGCTACATAAAACAAGGCATTATTGAATTGAATTGAACATTAAGGCATTATTATTACCAAAGGAGTTTTTTGATCCTCTATTAGCGGAAAATGCCCACCTCTGATGTAAGATGGGTCTGAAATTTGCTTTGAAGTTCTTCATTGTGTGGAGACTTTAGCTCCTTAGTCAATTCTTCAGTTCTTCGAGGAAGAGATCCAACCCATCTACCCTACATGTTTAGTTAGAGTAGCACTGTGAGGGTCGATGTTGTCACGATTGAGGACATGTGCAAAAGCCAGCATTTCTCTGTTGTTTGAAAGTTTACACCATGTAATTCGCTTATTTTCTTGAGATTTCCGCTGCACGATTCCTTTTCTCTTGATGAAAGTGAATAGCACTAAGCAGCTCGCACTTGCCGGGAACGTCAATCTTATCATCCTTCTGCACGCCTACAGTTCAGCTAAAATTGGCGATATGCCGTCGGTATTGGCAGAGGTTATGGTAAATAATGTGCGCAATCGCTCACTGGACATTCCCCAATCCTCTTACTTGTCTGGCGGTGTGTAGCCTCGATCGGAGGTTGATGAAAAACGGTCTTCGTACTACACCGTCCTGTTGGTTTGGAAGAACGCGAACACTATATATATATATATATATGTTAATACAAACAGTAGAGCACATAGGAAATGATACACGTATGAAATGCGCTGAAAAGGCGGAGACGAATCGTTAAGACGTAACGTGCAATTTCGTACTTCAGAAGTTACTAAACTGTCTGTAATAAGGTAGTACGTCTGTCACTGTCACAAGCAATTATAAAGAACAAATATTTGTTTTAATCCAAAGAATGTGCGAAAGCTTGTTTCTATTTCATTTATTTAAATTAGAAATTATTTCGTGGCGATTACGCGAGCGATCCGAGTCAAAATAAGAGGTGTCTGTATTTTGACGTAAATGCGTAGGATGTTTTGCCTTGGCTGGATTCAAGAATGTTTTAATGTATGTTAATCGAAGAGCCCGGCACATCACCATTAACATGCAAATGCGTGTACAAAGATAGACACTTTGGCCATCTTTTCTGTTCACAAAAACCACTAATTATTAATAATTTCCCACGTTCAAAATGTAGGATCACTGCCATCCACACAGCGCATTTCACAGGTGTTACTTTCACAAACATGTTTAACTTGTCCTTGGGGTTTCCGCAAAAGTTTTTATAAGTACTTTTTCTCCCACGATAATGCGGGTTGGGCATGTCTTAACACAGTCTTAATAATTAAGTGATCAGTTGATCCGATTACAGGGTGGGTTACGTTTTCGTGAAGAGAAGGTTTCAGCAATGGAACCTGGGACAAAACTTTTTTTGCAGTGAAGCTGAGGATATTTAGCATCCGCATAGTTGGCAGCTTCATGGATTCTTTGGAGAATGCTTTGAAGAACTTCAATTGTCATTCGTGCATATACGTATAGGTATATGTTTATCTGAACATTTCTTGCCCGATTCGCAACATCGTGGAAAGTAAAAGGTACTTTTGCGTGAACCCTAGTATGGCCGAGGAGGTACTCAGATAAATCGGATCCCGTGGTAGGTGGACCCAGCCGTGGAAGTAAATAGGGTCCTCTCAGTAGATCGGGCTCCTTCAGGCCCACGTTCAGGATGTGAGATTTCTCCCGGTCTTCTCGCCTACGTCACCATTACGTAAGTCATAAAATATAATGTATTTCGACGACATACCTGTGTTATCTCCTAATGGAATGAAACATTTTTCTTTAATATATTTAACGCGAACGCCTTTCAGATTTTAGTAATAGGATTTACATTAATAATATATTTTACTTATTCATTAGAAAGGAAAGTGTTTGTAAGGTATTACTTAGAAAAATTAACGAAAAAGAGCAAGTTATGTAATTATTCATAAAACCTTTGATTCATATAAGTTATGTTAGCCATCATTTATTCAATTGCTTTTGGAAAAATAAACAATTTTTATTATCAAAGGAATTAAAAGGAGTGTTGTAAATTTTTTTTTACAGTAATAAAATTCATTGATATTGGTCACTATATTTACATGTCCTTGACAATATCATTACAGCAATGAATTATATATTCCGTATGAGTGTACATAAAATATTTAGATATTTCATGTAAGTTTATTGTTCTTGTTCATATTGTCGCAAAGGATAAAATATTTTATGGCTCAGGAAAGTAAACGGATTAAATTTACTCATGATCATAGTCCTCCTCGGCTTCTACTGTCCCATTGTCTAAAGGGGGTAAACTTTCTGACTCGTGAATCAATCTTATTTTACTCTCTTGTACCACAAATACTATTATTAGTTGTCTGTTGAAGATATTTTTTTACTTTTCACAGCTCTGATATCTCATAATATACTTTTTGCCAACAAAGCATGCTGCGTGAGTACACAGAGGTGAAGAATAAAGCGGACACAGAAGTCAACATAATTGTCCGAGAAATGGAAACGAGACTGGACCTCGTGAACCGACGGCTGCAAGAGGAGATTGAAATGTCGTACGTACACATCGCCGATTAATTTTTTGTAACAATATCCCACTTTTATTCGCGACATTGTATGTGTATTTATGTTGACATTTGTGTCAGGAGTTACTTTGGAATCTACCATCATTCAAACAAAGGCAGGCATGTCCTTAGCGTACCAAAGCGTTGCAACGTAGCCTAAAATTCACTAGGAGATCTCTTGCTACTAATGTAACAGGATGCTGTAAATAGTTCCCCTCGTTATTGTGATGTTCCCGATAAGAAGCTCTGACCGAGGGGTCGTAGACTTCGAGTCCCGGCGGTGGCGGATTTTTCGACACTAGCGAAGTAGCTGTGTGGAATATAGCCATTGTCTGAAGCAGAATTTTAACGGACGGCTGCTCTGATCGGTAGTTTTTCGTCGTCTCTTCGTTAACTTCTAGGTGAATGCTGAAATAATATCAAAAGGACCACGGACAGTTCGAGTTCTTTCCTTCGCCATCTTTGACCGTAACTCTCTCCTTACACACACTTATATACACTACACTACCCCCTTATCGGGAGACCAGTGGGAGCTTAGAGCGTGGCAGTGGGAGCTGGGGCGATGCTCCGCTGGGGGAAGATACAAGGGTGAGATCCAGCAAGCCGACGTGTAGGTTGACGCCGGACATTACGTTCCAGCGCGGGGATGAAGTCCACAGTCTCCCAGGACATAAGATGTATAACATTTACGGGAGTAATGGTGATAGCAATTGACGCGTTCCAAACTAATCAATCAATCAACCAGTAGGAAAAGTACTAACTTATCCTGCCAGGGACACAAAGAGAGCTTTTAGAGTAGCGATTGGAGAGGTAAGTGAAATAGTTTCTGTGCATTACGTCCCCTCCAACATCAACGATGTTTCCTGTATTATCTATATTCAATGGCGGCCGCTCGTTTTGGAGGTGCCTTCCCCATAAAAACCACCCTCGGGAAAAGGCAGTATTAAACTGTGCATACCACCAGCGCAATTTTGAGGACGGATTTAATTTTATGTACCCGCTTAAGCGCAAGAGCATTGTTTTTGAAACGGATAGTATCGTGGACTATCGCGAGTCCGTCCGAAGACGATGTATGTGAGGTAATGGAAGGTTGAGGAAGACTGCGGGTACTGGGCGTTGGGTAGAGGCAGCATGCTGCTGTTAGGGTTTTGTACGGCAGAATTCGCGGTTATTAACTAAGCTAAGGATACTGCCGCTTTCATCTGATTTCATAAATTACTGTTTTGTTAGATGAAAATATGTTTTAAAAATCTTTTATTTTCGCGTGAGCACAATAGCGACTTCTGTTTCATCGTAAAAGTTGTAATAGATAAGGATTAAAACCCTGATGCGTGCAAATCAGTTGTAAACTGCATGCTATAGTTTTCCTCGTTCAAGATATATTTTGAAGAGATGTAATAAATAATTCGAACATATATGCCACCCCTCCTGCGTGGCAATCCACAGGCCGCCACTGACTACTTTGTTCTCTCTCTCACGACGGAAGATCAGTCGAGATATTAGAGCTCGTCATGGATGGGGTGGTGGCCCGGCAGGAGCGTTGCCTGCACAGAGAAATTCCCCACACGCCGCCGTGCAAGTCATGCAGCGGGAGAGGAACATCACCATTTCCGGGACAACATTTACTACACTAATGGGAGTAATGAGCTGAACAGTTTACGAGTACCCACAAACATCAATGCATAGAATGCTAGAAAGTTAAAAGAGTATAAGTAAAAAATTGATCAACAAGTTGATCTGCCAGTATCCATGAGGGATAATTTTTTTCATTGGACTAGCAAATATATGTAAGCTCTGAATAATCGCAGATATTTAAGTTTTTAAACTTGTGCTTGTTACACGAAACGATAACTATTTGTTAGTTTTGTAATCAAATAATGTACCACTCATTTTTTGACTTAAACGCGTTGAACTCCCATCACTTCAGAATCGAGTGTATAGACCGTGGTGGCGGCGAGCGTGAGCGTGTGCATGCGCGTGCGTGTGTGCGCAGCGAGCGCCTGCGGGAGCAGAACTGGACGTTCCGCAACCTGCTGGAGGAGTCGGAGGCGCGCAAGCGGGCGGTGGAGCTGTTCGACCGCGGGGTGCAGACGACCGGAGGCGGGGGCGGGGGCGGGGCCAAGGGCGCAGACCACCACGACGGCACCGCCACCCGCCCCAGCCCCGGAATGGGCTCCGCCTCCGACTCGCTCGTCAGCGACTCGGAAGCGGTGCGCAGCGACGGGGGCGACGGGCCCGAGGACACGCCCCCGTCCGACGAAGACGACGACGAAGAAGAAGACGACAACGAGGACGACGACGTGACCTACGAAAACGACGGAGACTGCGGCGAGGACGACGAAACGCCACCGGGCGGGCCGCGCGGAGGAGCGGGCGGAGGCGCTCGAGATGGCCCCGATCAACGGAAGGCCACCGAAGCAGAGGTGATTTTACTGCCGGGTTCATTGTTCTTATCCCATTATCGATGCAGCTGTAATTTAATTACTGTTTCTAACTATCGTTAATCGTCTCTCCCCAGAACCTACTGCTCTCTTATGGGGCGTGGTGATTGAGGGAAAGGGAATTTTATTACGCCACCCGAGCGCCACCGCGTTTCACTGGTGACAACTACAACTACCTTGACAACAAGTCAAGCCCTCCAGATCATTATCCTCTTAGGGCTGGAATAATAATAATAATAATAATAATAATAATAATAATAATAATAATAATAATAATAGTAATAAAGGGCCTTTAGCATGACCAAGTTATGGAACCCCATAACAGGGAGATTTTGAACGGCAGCAATCGACTGGGTACGCGTAGATACACACAAATGCTGCGAAACGCAAACTGCGCATGCGCAGAATATCGATAATAGTATTTTCGATTGATGCAATGCTTTGCCGAGCAAAACCTCTTTAATATTATTGAATTATTGAAAATATAGAACCAAAATGTATTCGAAAATAATCTATAACTTAACCTTTGTAATTTTAAAATTGGATCTTAAAATAATTTTAGACAAGACATCTAAAACGTTATTTAAAACATTTCTTGGGGCTCTATTTAGCGAGCGCTTTATTACGTGTTAAGTGTGCGTGTGCCTGAGCCTCCCGTTGCGCATGCGAATGGCGCTGCGGCGCTGTGCGGTGCGGCAGGCGGCGGTGCCCGGGGGCTGGCCGGCGTCGGCGGGGGCCAGCCGGAGCGCCCCGGGCAGCCGCGAGGAGCGCGAGCGCGGCCGGCGCCGGCGCAGCGGCTCCGCCAGCGACCCGAGCGTGAAGCGCGGGCCGCGGCACACGACGGCCGAGTCCAGCAGCGACACGGAGGCCGACAGCGCGACGCTGCGGGCGCCGGAGGCGGAGGCGGAGGTCGGGGCGGGGCCGGAGGAGGCGGTGACCGTGTGGGAGCGCGTGCCGCGGCCCGTGCCCTCTGGAGACACCGAGGTGTCCTTCGACCTCGACGACAGCGGCGGCGGTGGCGGTGGCGGCGGCGGCGCCCCCTCGGGTCCGTGACAACGCGCCGGACGCCCCCGCCTCGCGACCCGACGCTCTGGGAAGGGACGGTTCGGGAACAGAAATTCACCTTCAGTTTGTTACGAAAAAAGTCAACGATCGGGGGACGAAACGTATGCGCTACTCTGGGACAACGCAACTGTGTCTGTGTATGGGATGCTCGATTACATACTCCATTAAGGATGTGAAATAAAGGCTTGTTTGGAACCACGCTGGAGTTTTAATAAAAGTAGGAATGGAGACCAACATGAAACTTGGTGGTCACTTTAATGACACTTCACTCAGAATGCACCGTATGGGAGCCCCAAGCTGGGATCCTTTTGGATTTGACAAGTTTGATTATGCCAATGGGAACTACATTTATTGGGGTACCTTATGGTATTTTTTTTCGTTTTTATTTGCCAGTTCAACTTTTAGTCTTTAAAAGTCATCAAGTCAACACCATTTTTTGCGTTGGTTGGCACAACCTTTGGAATAGGTTGATACACATTTCCTTGAGAGTGTGAATTACATCAATGTCAAAATAAATTTTTTTTACATTGTTTTATTGACACAAATCAACGTAAAAAGTTTAACACTGGTCTCTCAGAACAGACTCACATTGGCAACCACAAGAGTCTTGGTAGTTTCAAAATTAAATATTTAATAATCGATCTTTAATTATATTTAATCAGTCTTCCTCCTCTTTTTAATAAAAATGCATTTTAACTTTTTTGGAACAATGAGTATGTAGTCTTATTTAATTGTTTGAAATTTCGCGCTAAAGATATCTGAAACCTGACGACTTCAAGCCAGCAATTCAAAAACAAAAATTGAAACCTTCCCACTAGGTTAAAACTTGCAGAAGGTGGTGCTTATGCCTTCTAGTGGTGACGATTAGAACAATAATACCTATTTTTATCTTAATTTGTGTTTAAAAAATAGGCTGAAAAAACCTTATTACATTGCAATAATGTAACATGAAGGACCCTTGACCTTTCTATCTCGGACACGTTTGATTGACCATTTCTGAGTCAAGTGTCCGACCACTAACAAAATTGTGCAATTTTTGAGTGGCCACTACTGAAACAAAGACGGAGTATGGAAATAAATTAATAACAACTATTACAAGTTTAAGAAATTGTCATTTTTAGGCAGGGGAGCCATTCAGAAAGAGCTTTGCTGCTTGCCTATTGTGTTTTACATAATGAATTTAGTGATGGAGCCCAACAATGTTTAGTAAACTACGAAAATATTCTTAACTGTGACCACTACTAGAGCTTTTACTTAGATGTGAAAAATAAGTATCAGAAAAATAGTTTTATTTTGTGATGCTTGGGAGGATGGAGTTGGGAGACATTGTGGTAATGAAATATAATTGAAAAGTACATGAACGTAATTTGTTATTTGAAACGGGAGTACCAGTAATAAGGTACTCAACTTCAAAACACACAAACCCTATGCACGAAAATCAAGAGCTTTGTTGAAGGTTTCAGCTGAAAAAAAGACAAGAAAAAGCATTCCTTCCCAATAATGGCACGGAAGAAAATTAATGAATTACGAAAATACTACTTTCCAAGCTCTGAACACACATTTGAAATCAATGTTCCCACACCGTTGCAGTGATCATACGGAGACTTCTGTAGGAAGTTCGTCAGTTTGTGAAGGACACCTGACACATACTAGAGATTTATAATAGTATTTTATAGTCCTTATAATTTATATCTGAAATTTGTCAGATCCTGAGTGACACCTGACACAAAGCTAGGGCTTGTGGAAGCCACGTGGCCGATGTATGAACGTGAATGTCAAACAAATACTTGTGACAACCAGTCCAGTCTACCCTAATGATTTATTTGTTTGAAATTTCTCCGAGCTTGGAAATTAGATGATGTACTTTTTGCAATGTGGAATCACCTGCTGGAGACAATTAGGTTATCTCTAACAAAATATTTATTGCGAAATTCAGTGTTAAGTACAGTGATATATTATTAGAGGTCGAAAGGAATAACCGATTGCATTTAGGGTAGGCATGGAATCATCAACCTGTTTGGCTTAAGCGTTGGTTAGTATTTGCTCCAACAGTCTTTCGTACAGATTTACTGAGCAGGTAAAATATATTCTACAATTTCATTTCGCTTATTTCTTAAAATTTAAATATATTTTATTGGCAATCTTTGGAAATTGATGATCAAATACACTAGATATAATTTTGTTAGAGAGAGAAATGTTCTATAAATGTAGATGAAGTAGTAGTAGAAGTAAAGAATATGTACAAACCTTCGTTGTTTCTGCAAATGCAGTAACGTTTAAATGAGCGTGTGTTAAAAAAGGAACGCAAAACGCTACCTTCTGGAATTTACAGATTCTTCTTCTGACTGCGAGCACAAGCGGCGGGAGAGGGAGCTAAAGACCGAAATGGAATCCGCGCACATAGCCCTGCAAATGGAGAAAGAGTTCGCCAGAGCTCTCGAGGAGGAAATGATGAAGATACAACTCCAAAAGGCCACTCTCGAAGTCGAAAGCATTAAAATTGCAGACGAGAAAGCGATTTTGCAGCACAATATGCATAAGGCATCGGTACGTATCCTCTCACTTATTTATGTTTATGCGCTTTACGACTATCTTCTTAGATTCCAGCTAGTTCTTCGGATTCTGCAGCTCAGGGCTGCCCAAGGGAGCGACATAATTGAGAAACCGTTGCGCAGCCGTTGTTGAGTCAGCTCCACGGACCGGCTGAGTTGCTCAGCTCCAACATAATCGTTGTTTCGGCAGTGACTCGGGCCGGGAGATACTAGGTCGAGTTCTAAGTCAAGTCCCGGCAATGGGGGATTTTCAACATTAGCTAGAGCTCTAAGTCGAATTCAGCCGCTTCTAGAGGAGGATTCTAGCGCCGACAGCATTGATTTCTGGCGGTAGTTTTTCGTTTTTTCTTCGATCAATACCAGGCGAATGCGAGAGCACTACCCTAACAAATGAGGCTACGTTCCGCGCGCATTCTTTCCGAACTCTTCCTTGCCCTATCTGCATACCTTACATGCACGTACTCACACTTACATGCACTACAATACCACACATGTTGGGAGGTCAGTTGGGAGTTGTGGGAGGCTTGTCTTGATTGGAGCGGTGCTGCCAGGGTAGATACCTGGAGGTACACTCTTGCACGCCGACGTATAACTCGACACTGGATCTCACAATACAGTGGGAGATGAAAACCACCATCTCCCGGAGTAAAACATTCACTACACTAACGGAACTAATGACCTTAGCTGTTAGTGTGCCTGGAAACATCAACCAATCAATCAGCACAGGAAGGGAGGGGATGCGCTCGGTTGCAATCGGGTGCAGACCAGTGCAAGTGAGGGGCACGTGATTCATTGCAGTGGGTCACCGCGAGTAGTCTGGCTAAAATGCTTCATTTCAACCTCCCTACTCTAATGTCTAGACTTGTTAATTTAGTGCATTTCAAAAACGTTTGCCCCGCCTCTTGCGTCATGGGAATCGTTGCGACATACCGTATTGTGGAAAGAAAGCAAACGTGTTTGCAATTGGAATTCCAGCTCTCGGGAACCACTGTCTAGATTACTTCAAATTCCAATAATGTATTTATGAATAAAGACTTTTCACCATTTTCTCTCTTTAGGAATACAAATACGTCAGTGACTTTCTTCTTTGGATGAAGAATTACGTTTGAGTCCCTTCCCACATTTAAGTATTGCCCAAAAGTAAACAAATTCACTTGACCCATTAAATTAAAATACAATAATTATTGACAAAATATTTTTATTGGCCAGCTTGTAATTCAATTGTGTGATATTAGAGTCTCATATTAAAATAGAGTGTTATATTAAAATATTTTCGCCCCCCCCCAAGTAATTTCGCAGCACACCGCTGTATCGTGGCTCACCTTATGAGAACTACTGGGTTAATGGATGTTGTCCCAAAACGAAAAGCGCTGTTTTAAAAACAAAATAGCAGATTTGGGATCAAACTAGATAAAATCAAAATCTTACATGCTTAACGGAAGAATATTTCATTAGCAATTCGCGGGTTTTTCGTATCCCAGCGTCTTCGTTTTGAGGCTGAAGAGTAATTTACAAAGTTTAAAATGTTACTTCGCATATTTCTATTCACCTTTTTTGTGAAAATGTATCACAAATATTGTTGTTATTAATACTTTGATAGAATTGTTAAATTGGAAAAGCAGAAACTTTCTTTTCTCGGTAGTTCATTGGTTAGCGTGCTCGCTTTCACGGCGCAACACTGGGTTCGATTCCCGAACGGGGCAAAATTATAACTGTGCGTTTCCTTACAAATGTCCCAGCATCTATTGCTGAGTGACGATGAGAAAGCACACCCTAAGTTTATGAAGACCAGTATATACATTGCGGGGATGTCTTCGTGCTATCCACACGATCGTCTAATCCCATGGCCGAGAGGTTGAGCCGCTGGTCGGCTAAGGCTCGTATTGAGATGCCCAGCCAAAGGACCGGACAGAAAGGTTTTTCTAATTTTCCTTCTTTTCACAGGTGCGCGAAAGAGAGTTACGAGAACATTTCGAAAAGGAATTTGTAAGAAAACTTGTACGTGAGTTGATTCCCAAAGAACAAGAGATTGAACGATTGCAAGTCCAAGTGCAAGAGCTAACGAAACTGGCAGACTTCAAGTATGTGGTTTATGTACGACATAAATTATTAGCAATAATTCATCGTATTAATTCACCATCAGAAAGGTTTTCTTTTCTCAAAGTGTCTTCTAGACACAGTTCTTGTATTAATACTTCACATTATTTAATCGATCTCTTCACACACTTATCTCACTAAATATGAATGTGTGCACCATTTCTTAACGAAGACGGGATAAAAAATTCACAAAACTTGCTTTCTCTCCTGAAAATTATTGGTCACGGCCAAACTTTTAAATTATTCACAATAACGTTTATTTATTTAATGTCAAAGGGTTAAAAACTGTGCTTGACGCCCTGTAGAGGAACATTTTAATAGACAGAATTATGCCTATCG